ATAAGGTTGAGAACCGAAAAAAAAAAAAAAAAAAATTGAACTTAATTTGGGATTCGAATTATTTACTTTAGCTCTTTGGTTAGGCTCTGAGCTGTGGTCCGAGTTTTATAGTCTCACTCGCTTTGGACCAAAAGTTCAGAATGATCAAACGGCTAAAGTGGTTTTGGTTCTCTTGGTTGAATTACCATTGGTAAATTGGTTAGTATAATCATCATATCTCATGCTTAAATTGACCAATCTTTTGGCCGAATTAGCTTCGGTAAATTGTTTGGTACAACCAAGTTTCATATTAATATCGACCAACATGTTGGTTGAATTAACTTCGGTAAATTGGTTAGTACAACGATGTTTCATGCTTATTTTGACTAACCTATCGGTTGAAAGAACTGAGGTAAATTGGCAAGTACAATCATATTTCATGGTTAAATTGACCAACTCTTTGGTCAAATTAATTTTCGGGAATTGATTAGTTTAGCCACGTTTTTCATGTTAATTTTTACCAACCTCTTGGTTGAATCAACTATGGTAAATTGTTCATACAGTCACATATCATAGACATCGACTACGATCTTATTTAAATTGAAGACTAAGCGGTAGTTGCTATAGTTATTTATAATGATCAAATTGAATGAAATCATAACTATCTTAACAAAGTAAAAATAATAAAAACCAGCTTATTTAATGTATCTAACATCTTGTCAGGCTCATAAGGAAACAAGATGCTTGGTCACATATATCACAATATTGTTTGATGTAACAAATTTTTTTTAGAGTGTGTAAAGACATGATCTTACATGATTCTTCACTATTACAATAGTTTTCATATTTATATTATAAACTTACCCTTTATTACCATAAACACCCGAAGTACTTTAAAAAATGAAATGGGTAGGTAAAAGTTTACAATTTATTTGTCATCGATTATGAAAGTTATTAAAATCTGTAAGTTATATTATTGAGGTAACAGTCCCCTTTGAACTGTACACAACAAACGGTTATGCGTAAAAATTATACACTGTAGGTAAGTATTTAAGTATTTACAATAAAGCTTGCTTGTAATATAGAAAGGTAATAGTCCTTATAAACTATACACAATCAATCGCAATTGTCTTCGGAAACACCCCATCCAGGTGTACACCAGACTTACTAAGTTTTTCGACAACTTATTTTTACCTCCGATCTTTTCGCCAATTTCTTTTTAAACTTTTCTTCTAATTTCTTCATCTTTCTCTTCATATGTTCCTCAAAGTCTTCTGAACTTCTCTTGGCCATTTTAATAAAATTCAATTCAAATTTAACTCTTTCCGAAAAAAAAGCGCTTTAAGATGGCGGAAGCACTAAAACGCTAATCTATACTATAATAAAAACGTAAACGATCGATGTCTGTACATTGAAGATATATGAAAAAAACTGTTATGAGGGACATTTATAAGCGTAATAGAACACAAAACAATGATTTTTAAAATTTTTGTCTGTTTGTCTGTTTGTCAGTTTGTCTGTTTGTCTGTGCGTTTGTGCACGATAATCTCAGAAACGGCTGAACAGATTTAAATGCAGTTTTCACTATTATATTGCGACATTCTTCCGTTAACATTTAGTGTAAGATTTATTTCAATCGGTTCACAAATAAAAAAGTTATGTCAATTTGAAGTGACATGGTCGCCAAAATTGCTATTAAATATTTACTGTTTTATTAAATTTTCGTCTTTGATATATTGATCATCATCATTAACTCTTTTATAGCCAAACTGCAGGGCCTCAGGCCTTTGTTTAATAATTTTTGGTCACCCATCCCGTCAACAACTCTTGCGAAAATTGCTTAGCAATAGCGATCGTGCGCAGCGGCGCATATCCGTAGCGCCATCGAGCTACGAATTAATATTGTCTATAAAATGATAATTTGTATGATGACAAATAAAAAAATAAGATTCCAAAATTTTGACAACTCCGAAGTAAGTTGACCTTATTTATAATGACCAATCATGTTAAATAGGGTTCAGCTTATAATGGACATGTGGTATACGATCACGCGAGTAGGAGAACAAGCGGAAAGAGCCTTCCGATGATGCAATTAAGCCTCGAGTAGTTTACAGTGAACGCATATTTTTATCAGATTAGGTTCACGTCGTCGTCGGGGCCAGCAGAGGTGGTTGGCAGCCGCTCCCGCATTGCACGGTTTCGTCTGTCTGGGAGAGGTACTCGATTTACCCGAGTCTCTCCAATTTTCCATCTGCAACCTGGGACCAATGGTCCAATACTTGAGTGGTGACTCGGCCGGTACTCCGGCCGGACTCGGTAGCTTGCCGGTTTTCATTTCCCATGAGAAGGTGTAGAGTACGGGTTTTGGTGGGTAGACTCTGGGGACCCACCGGGCAGCTGACTGTCGCTTCACGGAGGAGAATCCTACTCACCCCTGTTGCTTGCCAGGTAACAGAGACAATATCAGAAGTTTTTCCACGACGCTAAAAAACTTAGATTCACGGCAACTGAAGTTAAGAACGTAAAGACAACTCGAGTTATATAATTTTTGTTCTCTCATTGCTATTTTTTATGTTAATACACTTTTTGTTTTTTTTTTATAACATACAAATCGCTGTAGATACGTACTTCAAAGTTGGTATTTCAGTCACAACACTCATATAATATTATGCGAGTCTGAGGGTTGGTTCAGAGTAGCTCGGTGGCGTAGTGAATAAGCGCCATGGCCCGCGATTGTAGTTGTTAAGCAATTTTCGCAAAGGTCGGGCACAGCATGGATGACCAAAAAATATTATCTCAAGCAACTCCAAGCTTCGAAAGCACGTAAAGCGATTGGTCCCGGTTGTATTTGCAGTCGTTAATATCCACATTGGGCCAGGATGGAGGGTCGTGGCAAATCCTCTTTAACCATCAATAAAGAAGGCCTGAGCTCCTGCAGTTGGTGACAAAAAAGGGCTGATGATGATGATGATGATGATGAGGGCCGTTCAAATCTGACAGAAGCTCAGTTAAGCACCTCACGGAAGTATGTTAGTAGACGATTTCCTTCGAGTGTGGAAAGTCAAAATTAAAATATGTATATATTTTTTATATCAATAAATAAATTCTACGTATCTTCCGTCAGACATGTACTGACCGACTTTTATAGACAAAGAAAGAGTCAGACAGAAAGCGCTCGGTCTCGGGAGACACCTGAAAAACGTAAAGCGTATTTAACTGCCCATCGCGAGGCTCATGCACTATGAAGTTGAATCTGAAGTATTTACATACATGCAGTATGGTATGGATATGAAACTTCTTTTGATAGGGAAATGCGCTTGGTCTCTGAAAGAGCTCGCAGTTTGCACAATAGAGATCGAGAAAGTAGTTTCGATTATTGCCAACCCGAGTTGCCTTCATACTCCACAGGCGTACCGCAGATAAGTTTTCACAGGGTATAATGAACTAGCTATTTTCCCACGACTTTGCCGCAAAATTATCGCGTCGTAATATAAATATCGCGTCTGATGTAGCTTCCTGTAGGTCGGAATCGCTATGCAACTATCGGTCCAGTATTATTGGAGCAAATTCGATGCAAATAAACAACCAATCGATCTTATTCGATACGGTAAAAAAGAATTCTACCAAAATACTTCCCACGCAGACGAAGTCGCGGGCACAGCTAGTGAAGTATAATTCTGTAAAACGGAAGGAACTATAGTGATAGAATTTCGAGGACAAAGCTGAAGTGTAATTAATATATTTAATATTACTTTCTATATTGTACACTACACAGGAGATATTGCAGAGAAGTTAGAAAAGAAGATGGTAATACAAAGAACGGGCTTATTAGTTCGTAGCAATCTCTTCCAGGAACCCATGACTAAAGAAAAAAACTATATAATAAATAAAGGAGGAACCTATGTACTAATCTAATAACGTCGACTAAAAACTCTTTTTCTAGATACCCCTCTTTTAACATTACTCGTTATACCTACCTGTTACTCTACTAATTATAATGCATATTGAAAATAAATAAACCTAACACACTTTTTGTCAAAATAATGATAAACTATTTCTAAGTAAATAAAAAAATAAGTTTAAAAACTAAAACCCGACTACAGCTAAATCACGCTTTACAATGTTTAAAACAATAAATTCATTTAATAGCGGCAGCTATATTATAATAGCGATGACCAAAGGACACCGTAATCGTATGCCACAGATCATAATAAAACAAACTGTTGTGGCATACGGCTACGCTGTCCTATACTATATGTCCTGTAATCCTGTAATAATTTTGCATTTGTAGTCGGCTAAATAGTTTCTGCTTGTAAAACATTTATAAATTATGATGTGAATCACAAACTTTGCAGCATTGTTTTTCAAAATAGTAAAGGTGGATTCTATTTAATTGTATACCCCTGTATTTCATCAATATAATCAAAACACGTGGCCTCTTATCTTAAAATAGCGCAAGAATTATACACTCTATTACCAGATAACGACGACGTTACGCATGGTGCGTTCAGTAATTTGCGTTAAATGAGTTTACCGACTTAAAAACAATTACAGTTTTAATTGATTATCATGGCAACTAATTTAAATGTTACGTACATAGGTTACCTACATATACCTATATAAATTTTTACGTACATCTGTGTTATGGGAAACCATAATCACCATATATCTAAAACTTTATTTTCAAATTGATTTCAGTGAAGAAAGATTGTAAAAATTACTTCTTTATTCTATATTAAGTCATTTTACACATATTCAGAGTATATCATACCGTTTTTTGTCATAACAAATTATTTGCTAGGTAAGTAGATACTTGTCTTCATTTGCTTATCAGACCTAGGTAAAACTTTTTTTAAAGTTGCATTTCTTAAATATTGTATGTTAGAAATCAAACTGACGAACAACTTGTTTTATTATTATAAGTAAATAACAGTAAAACAACTACCCCATATTGTAAAGGCAAAATTACTTAGAAATTTTCTAGCATATATCAAAATAATACCAATTATTTCAAAAGTTACCTCTTTATTCCTAATTCTTCGTGCGACTTCGATAGCTGGCTGCTTCAGTATGTCATCAGAAATCGCTGGAATTTTAACACCCTCTGTGCCGTAATATAAACTGAAGAAGAACCTTGCTATTCTTGCTAATACCAGTCTGACCACATGAAGCACACGCACTTTTAGTTTAATCGGCGAGTTCTTAATCTTAAATTCTGTTGAAGACATGTTTACAAAACCAAAGCGACTGCTTGGATACTACACTACACTGAACGATCGATATTTTATGAATCACCAAACAGTGTTACATTAAACATAAACAAACTTGCGGCCGACGCCTTTACTACACCGATATAACACCGTTGACTGCAGCCCACTGTATGATATGAATGGCCAAACGAATAATCCGCCCATCGAGTTGGTGGGATAGGTAATGTCTCCACCGTACCTCTCGCTCTCACATTGGCGACGACTGGTCGGATGACGTGACGCGTGGGACTTTGGTTCAGACTGGCGATCGTCCGGTTTTGTATAGTCGATAGCAATGGACTTTACTTTAGTCGGCAGCAAAGATAAACAATTAATGAGGAAGATTGTGTCGTCTAAAGCAGCCGGAACGTTATGACTTCACCGCCTTTTACGTCGTAGTCACATATTTAGACATAGGTAGATACTCATAGATAATGATAATGTATAGTCTTTGATTATCATACCATTTTTATCACAGTGTATTGTTATCTCAACGATATTAGTGAACCGAACTTTGCGTAAACTTTCTAAAGAAAAAATAGTTTAATTTTATCAAGTGTTGACATTCTGTATCATGAATGTTTCTACCATATAAATTGAAACTTATATAGGCTATGATTAAGATTAATTACATTGTATGAAGAACGTATAATAGATATAGTTACTTTTCAACATTCAACGCGATGTAATTTCAACATTCATCGCGAGGTACATTCAAAGGATGATGATTTGGGATTTTCTTTTTTTTTCTCAGAATAAACCATGGCAGATTCAGGAGACGAACAGGTGAATTCGACTAGGGGCAGTCCATTTCCAATTACCTTACCTACAGTTCTTTGTATTCCAGAGCCGCCAGACGAAGACAATTTACTTCTGAAAACTAATTCGTTCATATCATCAGAGCCCAAATTGTCATTGCCTTCAAATCTTGGCACTCCTACATCGCCCCTCAAACTGTCATCACCTTTATCACTTCCAACCTCTCCATCACCGTTTATGAAAACTTCCCCCCAAACAGAAGCCAGAAGAAGTTCAGAGTCCCCAATTACCCACCTCAAATCAACAATTTGCTGGCAAACTCATCAACACTGGATCTGCGACAGGTAAGAATTTTCTTTTAATTTCTGTAAATAAGGTTTGCTATGATGGTAAGGTATTATAAGATAAGGCTAACCTGCTCTTTAATATCAAGAAAAACTTTTGTGGTTTGGTTTTTAATTATGTAAGTAATAAATATTTTGGATGAGTGAATGAATATGTTCCATTGCTGTTTAGATTTTAATATTGTTTATATAATCGTTCTTATAAAGAAAAGCAAAAAGATAGTACTGATATTCTTTGTTTTATACATTAATTGTTCCAAGCGGTAAGATGAACCGAGAAAACGGACGACTTTCAGTACCTATCTAAGATGATAAAAATTGTTATTTTATTACCGTATTTTCTTGCGTGCAGACTTCCGAACTCGTAAATTTAACAAAACTTTCGTAATCTTATTTTGTACTTTGGTAAGAAATACGATTGCCGCGATATCAAAATTTAACATTTTTTGTATTCTGAAAACCGCCGTCAAAGTTTTTTCAATTAAAACATGATTTTGCATACACCTACAATATACTCGTATATTATCTAAAGAGAAATTATTTCACATAACCCTTTAAAACAACCCGTATCAACTGGTAGTCTTCATATGTTTTACAAACTGTGTAGCTGCGTTAAATAATAATACAGAATTAATAAAAAATAACAACCTGTATATCAAAATTCAAGTAGGCATTAAATGATTTTTTCATATTTTTTTTTTATAACAATGTTCAGCTAATATGTATCTATTTATTATTCAGGTCATATGTTTTTCAACAATAGGAATTGTTAAAGGTGCTGCAGCAGATTGTAAAAACGTATAGGTAAGAATGTAAACTTCTTATAACTATTGTTTTGCAGATTATGTATAACCTTGGATTTTAGGTAAATCTCCACCAATACACTACACTAGCTCTATTACTGGGACTTACAAGTACACTGACTCTTGCCGTTAGAAAAATGTAAGATATTTTTTAAACTAAGATTAAAAATATATTTATTTAAAATGAATACATGAGTTGATATTTATATCATTTTCATCTATCCAGACAAAATATGCTATAAAAAATAAAAGAAGTTACTAACTATACAAAGATTTTTTATTATTATTTTTTTAAAAACATTCTCACAAAATGTTAAGTAGATAATACTTCAAACTAACAAGAAAACTTTGCTAATTTTGCTTTTATGTTAGCGTTATTTACAATCTCAGGGCGAAGGATGTCCTCGAAGAAAATAATATATTGACATCAGCGAGTCATTACGCCAACTTATTTTTTAATCATAATGTAAATGCGAGAAGAAAAATGACAATTAATTTAGTTTACTCATTGATGAAAATTTCCACCTAATTACTTGGAAAACCGTCGTTTGGAAGCAATGAGATATTAACGTTTGATTGATAACAGATTTTTCCGACCGCTCAAAAACATTTTCTCTAACTCTTGTTTTCCAGTTCAGTACGCCACATTTTTTTTTACCGTTTGACAAAACACTAATTTCATAGGGAAAGGCGAATAATTACATTCTAATATAATTTATACACATTTTATGTTAGTTTCCTAAAATAGATTTTCCAAACTTATTTTATTGAAACTAAATATAAATTTGTGAAATTATACAGAAAGTTGCTTTGGCAACAGTGTTCTCTACAATTTATCAGTATGTCTTGTTTGGTAGGTATAGATATAATAATAGACATTTTCATCATGTTCATACAATACGGTTTAGAAATGAGGTTCTTGGGGAGCAAGTAGTGAATACTAATAAAATGTGTGATAGTAGAAACAATTTTTTTTGGATGATTTCATGGTGGACTTTAAAAACCAATGTCTTATTAATTAATTTTTATCAAGTTTATAAGCCGACCGAGGAATTTAACTTGTCTTTTATGCGACCTAAACAGGCTAATAAACGATTGAAATTTTATTCCAGAATTGTTTATGGCGCCGATTATAATTTGTGTCACTTAAAATATAACCTTTTTTTTTAATATTGAAAGTGACTATTGTATACTGGTAAATTGGCATTCTTAAGCTTTTTCATGTGCTCGTCTTAATCTAAAGCAAAATCTAAAACTTTGTACTAATTTAATAAAAGAGGAACAAGTTGTTGACATAGCGGTTTTATCGTTCTTTTTTACTCTGCTCGATTTTGTATTAAATAGGATATCAGTTAGTACTCATTCCCGATAAGCACAAACATTTTAATGAATAATACCTATATTTCCTATAATTCTTATTCTTTAAAGTACTTGTAATACGTTGAGTAAAAAAACACAAACAAACACGCATAAAAACATAATATTGCTAACGATTGAGCCTGTTCGCGTGATTCGATTAAGCTCACTATATGCCACCAAGTCTTGTTAGTGAATGTATATATTTACATATGTATATGTTGTGTACAATCAATAGGTGATTAAGTTAAATTATTTATTGGAAAAATTTAATGAAGTTTACCAAATTATTTATTTATGCCATGCCATATAATGAAGGTGAATGGAGTATCTATCTTTTGTAAGTAGATAGAATAAATTTGAGCAATATTGCATTCATCGTGCTTTAATAAAATCATCTCGAGCACGTGAGTTTTTAGGCATTTTTCTTTTATGGTAATTGTACCATGAAAACTATACATGAACCACAATTTCAATTGAAGTTGCACTAAGAAATAACATCCAATTAAGCAGTATTAAGCATAGAAAAAACTATTATATTTCTAAGGGTCTTCGCACAGTCAAAACTTGGAAGTTATAAAATTGACTTCACATGGTTTTCCATTTTTTCTCTTAATTATGTTCATTTTATAAAATTGATAAGTATGTAAACCACTTTGTAGCTAAAAGCTATATGCAACAGTTTCACAATAATGGTGAAATAAATGTAGCGACCATGCTTACGCCCTTATTTTTATCTATTTTATTTCTTTGCTATTAGTATTATTATTTTAATTTAAAATATTGAATAACGCAATTCACTATATAATAAATATACTGCTTATTATCGCTTATAAAATGAACGTACACAATCTAACAAGAGATATGTGAAATGAACAACATACACATCTCTTTGTTAGATTGAAAAATCTATTAGATTTTTCAAAGACTTCTTAATATCCTGTCATTAAAAGAACCAATTAGTTTTACGGTAGCAGTGGTAAGTACAATCCACGAGTTCTAAGTATTAACTGAATATTCAAAGTCTAATTTGAAATTGCTACGGTTATATTGTTTTAACTTTCGGCATCAAAGTGTTACTTTGTTTCTATGGTTTCCTTTGAAATCGCTGCGGTTTTGTTCAAGTAAATAACTTTGTGGCTGCGACTGTCTAAAAATAGAATATTCGTCCAAAAATACTTAATTATGCTCGTAATGTTGTAGAAACTCCTTGTTTATGGACCTTGTATAATGCAAAGTAAAACACCTAAAAATTATACTTCAAAAATAAATTGTCATAAGATCACGATCTCGACTATATTTAAGATTCATCTCAGTTTCATTTTACATGTAAAAATTAATTAATTTACTTGACATTGGCAGAATTGTGCGAAATGCGCAGATAAGCCAATAATTTAAAAAGAAGAAGACTATATTTAATTAATATTTTCAACACGTTATCAGCACAAACATAGAGATTTAGTGAGAAATATTTATTTTCGGAGTCTAATTTACCGGATTGTTGTGTATTAGTATACTTTATCAACATAAAAGTGTTTTTTTTTTTCTGACATTCAAAAACAAAAGATGTTAACTGTTGATCACAGCAATATTGGTAAAAATGGATCGAATTCCAGTCTACGATCCCTTGCGGGGATATCATTAAAAGGTAGACAAGACTATACAATTTGGAAATTCAAAATGAAGATGTACTTGATACATGAAGGTTTGTGGAATTGTATAGTTGGTTATCCTGATGGAGACTCCACTCCTCTTAACATTAGAGAAAGGGAAGATGAGATTACCCTAGCCAAAATTTGCTTGACATTGGATGGACTAGCCATAACGCACGTAAGGAACTGTAAGAGCGCAAAGGAAGGTTGGAGTACTTTAGCGGCTAGTTACGAGGATAAGTCCATGGGTCGTCGTTTGGCGCTGGAACGTAAACTGTACCTACAGGTACAATCTCAGTGATTTTAGCAGTATTGAGATGTATATTGAGGCAGTAATGTCCACAGCTCAGGATTTGGTGGACATAGGCAAGGTAATTGAGGATGCCTCTCTAGCGGCAATATTACTAGGAGGGCTGACATCTTGCTTTGACCCTTTGATAATGGCACTAGAGAACTCTACAGTACAGATTTCTAGCGAGCTCGTGAAAAGTAAGTTATTAACAGAATTTTCGCGATCTACTGATAATCAACCACTTGAATCGGATTCTGCTTTACGCGTTCAGCAGAAGAGACCGAAAAGAAAACGGGAGGTAGTCTGTTATCGCTTTAAGGAGCCTGGACATAAAAAGCCAGACTGTCCACTCAACAGAAAGTCCAATAACGCTGGCTCAGAGAAATGCCATGCAGTCATTAGCACGTCTGCATGTTTATTGGTCTAAAATCGACAGGCCAGACATGGCACAGGATCCACGTGGAGTTTGCGGGTCCAATCTATGGTTTTTCTTGGCTTATAATTATAGATGCCTACACAAAGTGGCTCGAAATACACCCAATGAAAACAACTACAAAGCCACCGTTTCAATGTTAAATGCAGTTTTTTCGACTTTCGGTACTCCTCGATATGTTGTATCAGACAACGGACCACAATTTACAGCAGATGATTTTGAAGTTTATTGTAAAAACATGGGAATTACTCACATAAAGACGACACCATATCACCCTCGTGTAAACGGGTTAGCGGAGCGTGCCGTTCGTACTTTTAAAGAACACATGGCAGCAGCGAGTAAATATACTGATTTATTTGAACGACTTCACAAATTTTTACAAACATACCGCAACACCCGTCGTAATTCTACTAACCGTTCACCATTCGAAATGCTTTTTGGGAGACCGATGCGCACAATTTTTGATCTATTAAAACCAAATGTTAAGGAAAATTTAGAAAAAGCGCGGCTCACGCAGGAACTAAAGCCATCATCTAGACAACTAGCAGCCACGGAATACAAAACTAAAGACAAAGTATGGGTGAATCACCCTACTGCCAAAGGATCAGATCCTGGTACAATAGAATGTCGGACGGGGGTTTATTCATACATAGTAAAGATGCCAGATGGCAGTCTCAAACGTAAGCACACGGATCAATTGAGACCTAGATTAGAAACACTGGAAGTGCCTTTAACACATTTACAAAGTCAACTCGACAGTCTTAACCACAATCCTCGAAATATCACATACTATACGAGAAACCCAGTCATTGCGATAGGGAAAGGCGACCGAGACCCTGAAGTAGAACAACATCGTCCTTCTTCGCCACAACCTGGTCAATCATGGCTGGAGGTTTCGCATCCCGACTGTCTGCAACCTGTGCTTAACCAAGGTCTTGCGTAGCGCCGCTCTGAACGGCACCGCAGGCCCCCAGATAGATTCGGTGTCTAAACCCCGTGAGGGGTAATGTTGTATATATACTTCATGGTCATTTATGTTATTTATGAAGTTATGCTCTTTGTCATGACATATAGCTAGTAAATTTGTTTGAAAGTAAGCACCATTGCTTTATAAAACATAGTTTTAATGTTATAATTATACAATAGTTTTTTTGCTAGGTGAAGTTATGGGTGGGTCGAGTTTCAAGTGGTGTTTTTATAATAATCGTAGGATATTTTATCACATTGCTTACACATACTGAAAGATTAAGTTCTTTATTTATTTTATTTCCTTTGAGTATACATTCATTACTTGTAATTGGGCCCTCAGCATAGACGGCAAGTTTTGAACATGTAGAACAAGTAGATTTTCATGATGGTCGTATTTATTTTGATACCGGATAAAAAGAAAATATCATTATTAGTATATTGTCGTTTACAGAATGATAAAATATGGTTTCGTTATGAAGTAATCATTTTCTTTGTGAAGAGTTGTATTTACGTCGCCATCTTAGCTATGACGCATGTGCTTGCATTCGTTTTTTGAACGCGTGGGGTCAGGTTTGAAGGGTTAAATGGTTGTTTGATACAATATAAACACGCTGTTAATATATTTCATGAGAAACTTCTATTGTCAATGAAAATAATTGTTAAAGTTTAAATAGCAAAAAACGCTGCTATATGTATTGGCGCTGGTGACGTGGTATTTATGGCGTCACATGCCAGTAAATATGTCAAGGCGACAACCTTTTTATCAACCGTTTATTTAGGATGGATACAAATGGTATTACAATTTTATGTTTTGAAATCAAACTAGATGTCGCTACGGTACTTTCTTTATTTCCTTTACTTTTATGTATAAAAGTAAATTAAAAACTCAATAAAACTCAATAAGTAACTCATGTTCTATTTGTACTTTTTTGTATGTATTGATATCTAAGTTTCAAACTTTGCAAATTTCAGTTTTTTATTATATAAATTGTTTTGGGTCTGGGTGTGGTGATAGCGTTTTTGTTTCAGATATTCCGTATTTGACTTTATTTATATTTTTATTGTGGAATCTGAGTAATTCTGAGTATTAGTCATATAGTATTCACTTGAATATTACAAAAAGTAAGATATAGAAAAACTATAAATATGAATTAACCTATAGAACTTTGTTACACATAAACTGTCCTCTGACTGAATAGACTGTTTAGGCTAATTCCCTTTGCATGTAAATAATTCATTGCATTTTTTCAACTGTAGTAGCAAAGAATAAAATTATTAGAATTTTACTTGACAGGCAAAATGCACAAGCCGTGCCTGCCATATTATGAAAAAAAAAAGAAAAAAAATTATTAGAATAATTTGACATTGTTTCCTAAAAAATAAATCAAAGTTGTATTTTAGTATGGAAAATGTCTTGATATTAAAAGATTATAAAACAATCCCTGATATTGTTCACAAATATGAGCCTTCACTTAAATATGGACACATACCTTTAGTAATAGACAATGGTAAGTGAATTTTTATTTATTTCTTTACATACATGATTTACCCCAATCTAGTCTTGTTAAAATATCGCAGGGCACTCCCACAATTTCAATGTGATTTTAGTCGTAAACTTCGAACATTACAGGTTATTATAGCTTAGAATTATGATCGCCCAGTACGGGCAGTTATTCGAGATGATAACTGCTGTAGTACCATATTAAAATTTACTCTCACTCGCTTTATTCTCATCATATGAAACTTTTCTTTCTAACATGTCCAGGCTAGTACACTTACATCAATTTCCATGACACTGGTCAAGCATTTGATTCAATCTGATGTCAAAGATCTGATTTTCTGTTGATATGATAAAATTATTCATTTGCTACTTAATCACATTTGAATGGTTATTATTATACCTTGTTATCAGAGATGCAATTAGGTAGGTGGATGTTTTTAGAGATTGGTAAAAAATATAAATAATAATAATAAATTTATACCTATATAAAACTAATTACCAATAAAGATATCTTAAATATTTTTACACATCACCATGATTACCATTTTTTAGTTGTCCATCAGATAGACTATTGAAGAACATTAAACATTTATTTTTATCATAATCAATTAAAATATGGAGATACACTGAGTTGAAATGTCACATGATGTCACCCTTTTATACAATTTCTACATAACTGTGAAGTAGTTTGCCCCCACTTCAATGCTTATTATTTAAGCCATTTCTTGTTTTAATTGAAGTAAAAAAAATATTTTTCTATATCTGAGTGATGAACTAAATAGAACTTCTTTTTTTTATCTGGTTATTATCCCTATTGCACCTCCGATAAGGGGGGCATTATTATATGAGGAAAATAGATGACTTTTACAAAGTATTCTGTGTTCATATCTCAAAATCTATACAAATTAATTTGAAAGGCGAAACTTTAATAATAATTACAGGATCTTATCAATGTAGAGTTGGCTGGTCCATTTATGATGAACCTCAGCTTATATTTAAAAACTTAATAGCTAGACCACGTAAAGACAGAAGTAAGAAGGATGCAGAACCTCCAGCCACCCCACCTATTCAAATAGGAAATGATATAATCAATATTGAAGCTGTAAGGTAAGTGGCCAGTATAATGTGTTTATAAATTAACCAGTTAGCCTTCTGTTTTATTTTTGTACGCATTGCAACAATAGTACAAATCTTCAAAATTTTTGTACTATTGACACTATTTACTTTTATACAGGATAATGTTTTCCTGTAGTATATGTTATGGACATATAACTTTATTATATTGATAATATATACCTACTACACCTCTGTACCTGACCTCCAAACAAAAAACAGTTCTAAACTTATAAATAATATATAAATTGATAGTTAATAGGCTAATTGATCCTTGTGAATTTTTTTGGTAATAATAATTTAAAATATGTATGTCTTATTAGGAATGTGCACTTTTACTGATTTTATATACACTGACAGGCATAATTAACTGCCCACCTTATATTTCTTTCAATTCACAGAAATTAGTTATTATATAAATTGGGGGATAGTGTACTACTCTTCCACTGCAGCCGTTTTTAGCGCTCCTATAGTTGTTGGGACTAGTACTCTTGCTTGGATACGACTATCAATGTTGTCCCAAATGTGCTCTATTGGGTTAAGATCGGGACTGCGTGCGGGCCGTGGTAAAACTTGAATCCCGACTTCATTCAATCACTCACTTACGGATTAATCTAAAGTTGTCACCATTGAACGGAACGAAAGGTATGACTTGGTCTTGAGGAACTTCTTACACGTATCTTTGAGCGTTTACACTTCCTCTATCGAACACAACCAGATCGGTACGAGCCTCATAAGAGATACCTCCCCATACCATTATGGACCCTCCCTGGTAACCTACTGTTTTAGTTATAGCGCAAAGAGCAAACCTATCATTTTGACGCCTATAGACACGCTGTCGTCTACCTGGACCTCTTAAGGCTATTCTGCTCTCATCTGAGAACAGTACGATATTCCTCTACAGTCCAGTCAGCATATTCTCGCGCAAAACCAAGTCTAGTTTCTACGGTGTTGTGGGAGCAGTTTCGGAGCGCGAGCTGGACGAATAGCCCTCAAATTACTTTCTGCTAGTCTTCTTCTAATGGTACAGCCAATGACGCTGACATTTCTCACCTCAAAAAGAAGCGTACGAGCTTCAGTAGCGGTCGCAAAGTGATTTCTCAACACATTAATGACAACGAAACGGTCATCTCGAATGTGTATCGATGTCGGCTTTGGCCTGCGGGTGTATAAAGTATGTCTCCCGAAATCGTCTGATGGCATCTTTTACAGTAGTTCGAGGTACACAGAGTATGCGAGCGATGCGACACTGGCTATCACATCAACTAAACTGCCCTAGCTACATCAGTTGCATCGAGTGGCATTTTTGCAATCACAAACAATGAGCAAACACTAAGGTATAATTTCAAATTAAACAATATTCGCCTACTATGATAGAAATAACAGGAAATGTTAACTCTGTAACACAACAGCAAAAATATAAAACAACAACTAAATTCCGAAAACCTTTGTAGAGACTAATTTAGGAAAGAAAATGATGGTATGTTAAGTGTTTTATTTATTGCTAAAGCACCCACTTAACAAAAAACAAAACAGTTGATAAGCCATAGTTGACTGAACCAAACAAGGTGATGAATGATACAGGTGGGCTGTTAATTGTGCCTGTGATTGTATGTATTAACTTAAATTGTATTATACCACTGATATAGGTATTACTTCATAGAGAAATATAATGACTTATATATATTATTTTTAAGGTTTCAACTCAAGACTCAGTTTGATAAAAATATTGTAACACATTACGAAGCTCAAGAACAAGTCTGTGACTACATCTTCTCACATCTGGCTATTGACAGTGAGAGTTGTGTCCCCCACCCTATTGTTATGACTGAAGCTTTTGTAAATCCCAATTATTGTAGACAATGTAAGAAATATTACCTACATTATTTATAATTAAGACTGGCATGTTTTCAGTTTTAAGTCTTTTTAAAGACCAAGTTACTATTTTCTATTTCAGTGATGTCTGAACTACTGTTTGAAGCTTATGCTGTGCCAGCAGTTAGTTATGGAGTAGACTCTATGTTTAGCATGTATAGAAATGAAATTGGTGATACTGCTCTAATTGTTAACTGTGGATACCATACAATACATATTATACCAGTCATTAGGGGTCAAGTCATTGTAGAACATGCAAGAAGAATTAATTTAGGTAAGTTATTTAAACAAAATATCAATATAATATATGTATATTTTATTCTTATGAGTGGGTTAAACTCGATAAGTGAGTGTATGAATATGAACAAGTATTAAAAATCAAACATCAAAACAAATGAAGATAACAAACAAATTAAGATTTGGTGGTGAACTTGACCAGTGGAGCTGTTATTTATTCGGGCATCATAATTTAACTTTCCTTGTCCAGCTTTTGTAATGCAACTATTAATAATGTTTGTAAGGTGGAAGTGAAATGATATCCTATTTGCACAAACTTCTTCAACTGAAATATCCAGTCCATGTGAATGCAATCACTATGTCAAGAGCAGAGGAAATTCTACATGAACATTGTTCAATAGCCCTTGACTACCAGGAGGAAATCAGGAAATGGGCTAACCCTGATTATTATGAGACTAATGTTAAAAGAATTCAGCTACCTTTTGTTCAAACAAGTAGTTCATCAACATTGACCGGTGAGAAAATAACAGTTATTTTTCTGCTTATTTATTTTGTTGAAATGAAGTTTTGTTTTAAATATATTTTTTCATATTCATTCATTTCAGCTGAACAACAAAAAGAACGTAAAAAGGAAATGGCGCGCAGATTACTCGAAATAAATGCGAGAAAGAGAGAAGAAAGGCTTGCTGAGGATGAAGAGCAGTTGAATCAGTTACTAGCCATTCAGGTTGTTAAATTTCACTTATTTCAGTTACAGCAGGTCGAGCAAAACCAGTGACAATTCTTATATTGTAATGTTGTAAATGATGAATAAATATATTGTGATTTTTTTCAATATGAGATGGCAATGTCTTATGGTAACACATTTTTGAAATTTCAGGAAATGATAGAAGACGGTGACACAGATGAATTTAACGAAGCCATAAAAGGATTTGATATAAAGAGTTATGAAGATCTACAGGTGAGTTGTATTACTGCTCATACAGCAACATCAGCGTCCTTGCAGGACTATATAGATATAGAGACTATACAGAGCTAGCATCATAATCGACAATCTTTGAGTTTGAAGAAAAAATATTTCTCATTTTTTTATTGTACAGTCGTGACATTTTATACGTAAACGAAAGAACGACGGTCGCGCGCTATGTGAAGTACCTTCATATTTAAACATCAATATGTAGTACGTACTTAAAATTCTTACACTGTTCACCGGAAAAATTTTCAATTGCTAACAAGGTTTGTAAGTGGTCGGTATACTGAATTCATAAATCAGGGTTAGGAGGGGCTACATTAAACATTCACAAAAATATCTAAACCTTTGTTTGACCAAGAGACAATATACGAAAAAACTATTTTATATCGTTTTCAAAAATTAAACAGAATTTAATGCCAACCTTATAATTTACTTTGCATTTTCAATGGCGTATTAAAAAGCAGAATCCGTTAGAATGATTGATTCAAATAATAATCACAAATTATTACAATCTGCTCAGAATACGTAGACGAATTTGGAAACCTTATTGCATATTATCAGCCCCGTGGTTCTGTAAAAATCCAAACCCGAATTTGAATTCACTCATGTGTCCGAATTCAAGTCATTTAGTGTAGAAATTATATTGATTCCATTTTTTGTATAAAAATACAAAACAAAATTGATTAAATGTACGTGTCTCAGATATTCTATTTCTATGTTATTTCCAAACGCAATTAACTTATGCCACGAAATGTTATTACCAATTCAAGGTTGAGTGGATGCCGCTTTTTTAAGTGAATTGGGATACCTGAGTGAATTCGAATTCGGGGTTGGATTTTTACAGAAGCGCAGGGCTGGGCCTCAATTGTGCTCATTTTTACGTAATAATTGCAACTCAATAGAATATCAACTACTTGTATTTTGCCATGACCAGCGGCGGCCTTAGTCATTGGCTCTGGGTGGCAGGTCTTTGCGAGGCCCTTTGTTCCTCGTGAAAAGTATGTGATTTGAAAGTAGGTCTGGTTGTTTGAGTTAAGTATTTGCCATGTTCGAGGAGAAATGCTTAAGTTATACAAAGTGTTATGCAATTAAAAAACCGATCTTCAAGTGGTTCGAAGGGGTATTCAATTATGTTTAGAATAAATTATTTAGTTAACTTTATTTAAATTAACTGCTTTGTGATAATATATCACCTGCATAAATAATTAAGGGTCAAAATAAAAGGTTTTAAATTTAAAAAATATTGTTAAAATATATATGTATTTTTAAATTTGCTTGGCTTGTTGCGCGAGGCCCCGAAAGAGCGAGGCCCCGGACGATTGCCCCGTTCGCCACCCCCTAAGGTCGCCGCTGGCCATGACAAATATATGTATTTATTATTTTGTGATTTAGTAACAAGAACTGTGTCATAAAGGTTGTAGTTGAAGCCCCCACAGACTTTTTTTACGTGTCAGAACTTTACATGGTAGGTTATTGAATGTTTTAGCGTCAAATAGCGAACGTGAACATGCGCATAGAAAAGAATAAGCAGCGCATCGCGAGTGCAGCGACTGCCGACGAGGTGCCTGAAGCGAGACCATCAGGCCGACTGCAGCCGCCTGTAGACCCCGACGCATTCCAGACCTGGCTCGCTGATACCAGAGCGAAGGTAATCCAATATTAATCACATGTTAAACTAAACAAACCATACAATAATGCGAGTTTAAAAGTATGATAAACGGGATAAATATTAAACAACTTTTATAAATAATAGCACACAGGTAAAAGTTCAATAAATTTTGAACTGTTACATTTTACGGTTAAAAACCGATTGAAGAAATTTGGCGTTTTTGTACTTAAACTGTGCAAATAAAAAGGCTTTACTTGCGATATTATTATAACTCGTACGAATTAACATGATACCTAAGGCCCTATTCTATTTGTCCTTGAACGAAATTTCCAAAAATTTCAAATTGTACTTGTTTTTTTGTTAAAATTATTTCCGTGACTATTATCGGCGTATCAGAGTGTCAGGTCCTACCTCCGTTCCATTATAAATTATCGGAAATTGCGTTTCTTTGGAGGTTTTCGGTGAATAGAATAGACTGTCAGGTGTCATGTTCATTCGTACGAGTAGTATGTCTTTATTTTAACTTAAATCTAAAATGTGATTAAAGAAAATATTTTTTTATCTTCTTTAAAAGTTTTGCAACTTTTAACCTTGTTCCTTTCTGCTTTCTAAGCTGAATAAAAGATGAGAAAAAGTACCTACAATAATGTAGTCTATTACGATTCTCCACAATAGTATCGCGAGTTGTTATCACGTCGCGAGGCGCGGCGCGCGCGTCGTGCTGCGATGGTGAAACGTCGTACGGCGGCGGCGGCGGAGCGCATGCGCGTCATATCGCGTCTCGCCGCCGCCGGGGACGAGTTCGGAAACCAAGACTCCGACTGGGACGCATATAAGAGGTGATCTAATTTTATAAAGAGGAGATAGATATATAGATAAATCTTTATTGAACCACTACTATCACTACATTATAAGTTACTGTAAAATACTTAGTTGGTGTATAGCAACATTAAAAATTACAACAGACAACGATTCGTACCACCTTACTAGTGTGAAGCCCAAGAGGTATACAGCTCAGTGTTGGATATTCCATATAGGAAACAGACACTAATTTTCAGCTGTATTTAATTGTTTGTTTGCAATGAAAAGGCACTGAACTGGACCGATTTTAAAAATTCTTTCACAGACGGGAATCCAAATCATATGCGATGAACATAGGCATGTTTTATCCCGAAAAATGATTTGCTACTTTTTGAACTGTTCAATCGCGTGTATTTTTGAACACTTATTTCATTTTTCAGACAGGCTTCGTGTTCATTAAGACTAAGATATAGGTCGTCTTTGAATAATTAAAGGCAAAATAAAAATAAAAAAACTTATTGAACACATGCACAATACAAATTTTTTATCATATGAAAACATTTGTATTAATCAATTATTATTAGGTAGGTACAAAATACCTGACTAAATTTAACTACCACCAGTTCCAAATCTGGGAGTCCTGTATAAGAACCTTTAAATTGTATGTTTACTGAAAGAACTAATTGTGACTTTAGGTTTTTGCAGTGGATTGGATCAGATTTTTTCGGCTACGTCCTGTGACAGGACACATTTTCAAAAAAGCAATTTTGGCGGATCTGTTGATCCCATGACAGGACTTTCCACATATACGGGTTTGAGCACTGATTTTGGAATCTAAGGTCTAGAATAATTGAAAGTTAATTAAAAATTTTATATAATTAGAATTTTTTTAAATTCTAATAAGATTTATCAATTTATTAATTTTAATTTATTATATTCAGATTCTTTGGGTTTTAATATTTTTTTATCAAATCTGATAAAACAAAATTCACATAAAAATTTGTACACTCATATACACTCACGGATGTCGTTTCATAGATTATTTTTAATTAAAAATGTAAAGAATATATGAATTTTAGTTAACAATAAGAAATATTACTTACTATTCCATGATTTAATTAGTAGCATTCACCAAAACTTACAATTATTTATACAAACACAAGCAATAAATAAACACAAGCGTCAACTCGCGGCCATCACTGACACAGTCGTTCATAAATCGAAACATTGATTTCCAACTTTTTTTGTACTATAGTCGTCCTAAATTATATGCAAGACGAAAAGCCAATTCATTACTAAACGATTCTTCACCCGAAATAAGGCCCGAAATTAAGTAAGGTGATAACACCATGACCGCGTGTAACAGGACTCCTCACAGACAGCAAGTTAATTTATTATATCATAAGATGCGTCCACAGACGAGAGGTTAATGGATTCCAAGCTAGTGGTATCCTCCAACCTTGACTCACTACGCGGGCCTACTGCGGTATGGTTGGTGGTAACGATTAAATAAATACAACTATTCTTGCGTAAAAACGTATAAATTGTTTATTATATGTATATAGGCGTATATATTTGTGATCAAAATGCCAGTATTAAAGAGGAGTGAAAAGCAAGTGTTCTACTACAATTTAAGACAAATTACAAATGCAAGACACGTTGTGTAGTTAAATGTAATAAAATATTAACTTACCATAAACTTGTACAATTTATTCACAATTTAAATCACTGATTTTTCAGTATAAGTCGCGACGCAGATTCTGATTCTGAAGCCGACGGCGAAAGAATTATGGAATTGGAAGAAGCGCTGCGCGAGCATGAACCGCAGACTTCTTCGCATCAACATCATCAATTGCATCTCGCTATTGAACCCCTAAGGTTTGTATTCTAGTCATTCATCAATAATAGGGACTTAAACTAACTAAATTGACTTCTTTATAAATTAATAGAAAAGCATGTACCGCAAGTAAATGTCAGTGCCGGGCAACAATACCCTTTATGGTATAGCCCAGCACTGATTAAAGTTATTAAAGAAAAAGCTAGAATTCACAGCCATTGGAAATGTTTTCAAAACCCAATGGATTACCATTCTTTTTCAGTGCTTAGGGCTATGAAGAAAGCACTTAAGATAACGTGTTATAAATCATATATTCTGAATTGTCAAGAAAAAATTACCTAAATTATTTTGGTCATTTGTTAAGTCGCGACGGAAAAGTAATTCTAAGGGCCGGTTTCACCGGTTGCTGATAAAGTCCCTGATAGTCTATCAGGAACTTATCTGCCAGATAAACTATAACTTTTGGTTTCACAGGTCTCGGATAAAAATATCTGGCAGATAAAGTGTTAGATATGTTATCAGCCGATTCAAGTGGCTGATATAGACGTTATCTGATAGATAAAAAAAAAGTTTCAAGTAGCGGGAACGAAAATAGTTTTAGTTTTAGACCATTATTGTGTGCTTTGCATCGATTGCAGTCACGAGTGTCACAAATATTCTAAAATGGATTTATTTGAGTTTTTAGAAGACGAATTAGATGAATATTTCGAACATATTACGCAACCCCGTAGAAATCGAGTAATTAACCCTAGACCTAATTATTTAGAATCACTTCACGATCAAGATTTTTAGGAATCGATTTCGGCTTACCAAACGGCCTGTTGTTTATATTTTATCGTTAATAGAAAGTGATATAAAAACTACAACGGGCTACTAAGTAAAAAATAAAGAAGCTCCGTTTCTTCTTGATTAAAATTCACACTTCTTTCACGTTTTTGTTTTTCCATTATTAATTAACAAATACGAAAAGAATACACAAAGAAAAGTTTAAAAAATGAAAAGCGTCTTCTTCTTCTTTTTTTTTAATTAATGGCTTATCTGCGCATTTCCCACAATTCTGCCAATGTCAAGTAAATAAATTAATTTTACATGAAATATGAAATGAATGAAAGATTTTAAGCACAAAATATCAACAAAGCAAAACATATGACAGTTGCGTTTCGTTTCTGTAACCACGTAGCTAAGTATACGAATATCGTATTATTTTAATTCTAGAATCATAAAATTATTATTAAAAATATGTGAAAAAAGTTTACTTAAATAATATTGAACATAAAAAAAATATATTAATTAAGTTTTAAAAATGATTTTTGATTGACGATAATTTGGGTCGTAGAGTTTGGCAAGCGAAACGTGACACCACCTATTTTTCCGTTTTCATATGGCAACAACATAGAACTGTCAGTTTGACACTACGTTAGACAATTCAAGAATATTGAATTTTGTTGTTTTTGCGAATTTGAACTTGTGTTTTTGGTTAAAAATTATGTCGAAGCCGATAAAAAGTTCATCGAGGAAACTTCTTTCCATCATGATTGACAAGTTTACTGAAGTGAAAACTGAATTAAATAAAAATTTCATGGAGAAATTACAACGATTAGATAAAGTTGTATCTTTTTTAGGTTAGTTTTGTATTATAATTTTGATACTTTCGTTTTAATTTTCTGTAATTAACTAAACAGATATTTTTTATAAAATATTGCTCTATTTCAGATAACTGTGATGGTGATATTCAACCAATAATGGAGGAGATAAATGCAATAAAAACTTTAGAAAAACAAGAAATGCTGAATTCGGAAACGCAGTACTTACAAAAAATTTCTTCAATGACAGGTCTCTTTTCTTGTTTTGATTTAAGATAGATTGATAGTATTCCTATAATATTTACATAGGTTTTTTATGATGTATTGGTTTTTATTGTTGACATCCAATGATGTCATAAGAATGTTTTGTTTAACAAGGAAATTCACAGAATTCATGAAACTAATCAAACCATGTAATTGTTATACATGCTAAATATGCACATAAACTTAACTAAATTAAACATAAATTGCATTCATAGTTGAATAGGTATTTAAATTATTTTGATGTATGTGTCTATCATTATTTGCTTTTAAATACATTTAACATATCTTTGTTTCAAAGTGTTTAATCTTTTATAGATGTAAGTATAAGGACACTAAGAAGGATAAAAAATGAAGCATTAATTAATAAAGGAAAATGGGACACTCCTGGGAAAAAACGACCTCATCAACCAACAGTGTCTGCTTTAGATAATTTTGATTTAAGTGCAATTCGGAATAAAGTAAATGAATTTTACTGTGTGAAAAAAATTGTTCCAACATTAAGAAGCCTTCACAATGAATTAAAAGATGCAATAGGATTCAGTGGTAGCCGTGAGACTTTACGAAAAATTATGCTTAAGAATGGATTTTCTTTTAAAAGCAATGAAAATGAACGTTCTATGCTTATAGAAAAATACCAGATTTCTGCATGGAGGCACAAGTATTTGAGAGAAATAAATATAAAACGAAACGAAGGAAAGCAAATTGTGTACCTTGATGAAACTTATGTACATCAGAATTATAAAGTTAAAAAGTCTTGGCAAGGACCTTCAACAACTGGTGTCACTACAAAGATATCCTCTGGAAAACGGCATATTGTTGTGCATGCTGGATCTGAGGAAGGTTTTGTGCCTGGTGCATTATTAGTGTTCAGTAGTAAATCCAAATCTGCTGATTATCATGATGATATGAACTCATCGAACTTTATGAAATGGGTCAGAGAAAAATTAATACCAAATTTAAGTAAGCCCAGTGTAATTGTTATGGATAATGCCAGCTACCATATAAAACAAATCAATAAACCGCCTATAATGTCTAATACCAAAGCAGATATCCGTAAATGGCTTGTAAATAATGGAATACATTTTGAGGAATATCAGACAAAGGCAGAGTTAATGTGTTTGGTTAATGATAAGAAAACATTGCCTGTATATGAAGCTGAAGAGATTTTAAAAGAACATAATCATGAACTTTTATTGCTGCCACCGTATCATTGTGACTTAAACCCAATAGAGATGGTTTGGAGTCAAGCAAAAAGAAAAATTGCAAGCAGAAACATTGGAATACCAGGAAAGGAAATGGAAAACTTAATAATAGAGTGTTTTAACTTAATTACCCCTAGTGACTGGAAGAAATACACTGATCATGTTTTAAATGTCGAAAATGATTACAAATTAAAAGATGGCATTGTTGAAAACGAACTTGAAAAATTTATTATATCTGTTGGTGCAGACAGTAGTGAAGAGAGTGACTCTGATGATTCCTTGTCATTGTTATCAGGTGTAGAATATTTAGAAACAGATTTTGACTATGAATCAGACTAAAGTATTTTTAGTCTGATTCATAGTCAAAATCTTATCTTAAATTTTCTATTGTGATTAACATGATGATTTTGTGACACCTGTATTATGTAATTTATCCATGGCACTTAATTGTAACAAAAATAAATGTTTTTTTTATTGTAATCTGGTGTTTATATTGACTAATTTAATTTGATAGATAGTGGTTCTGGATCAGAGCAAAAGGTTGTGATGAAAATCCCTTAGGAGACATGTATGTGTTATGAACACATTATAAATATAAGGGCCAGAAATCAAAATTGGCTAACATCACATTTATTAAAAAAATGTGGCCAGAGTCGCCCATATTCATTACAAAAAAACAAAGAAGTCGTTGCAAAAAACACCCTTTTAATTAATGACAAATATGAATTTTTAATATTATAAGTGCTGTTAGCCAATAGGTATAACGAATGGGTTAAAAAAAAGATTCGATTTAGTCCGTCAGTCAGATAATAGAAAAATATTGGATACGTATTTTTTTTCGCTTTAATTTAACAACAAATGGCTTAAGAGGTACTATGCGACGACTTCAAATATGCTTTGCAACAATGTTACTTTAATACAGTTTATCGATACGAAATCAAGTGTCAAAATGGAGTCCAGTGGAGAATGCCGATATTGACATTTCGAAATTGCTCATCATTGATAGAGAATACGAAATAGTGATTTTGACACAATCAAAGTGTCTATTTTTTACGGTGATGACGATTCTTGGTTGTCAGTTGAGTTAGTGAATAGGCCTACTGATATGCTGTTAACTGTACAATTAAGAACAGTCACGCTTTAGTCAAATGTTCCAAAACAAATAATTTTAATTGATATCTAAATGTTAAGATTAAATATAATTAATAAAAGTATCAAAATTATTTTGCAGTACTACATTCAGTGTTTACTGCTTAAGAATTTTTGAAATTGCCGCCCTTTTCTTGTGACACGTTTCGCTTGCCAGACTCTAGTATTGAAACGCAAAAAAGCGACGTTGCCGTTCCGTCAACTAATAAGTGGCCGATAACTTATCTGCCAGATAAATTATCTAGCAGTTTGATGGTGAAACAGAAAAAAGTTAACAGCAACCTTTATCCGGTAGATAGCGTTAACTCTCAGATAACTATCTGAAACTTTATCAGTAACCGGTGAAACTGGCCCTAACTATCCAAGATTAATGGTTTATAACAAACAACAAATCTGTACTGGGTTCAACAATTTCTTTTATAAAAATTTTAGTGCTTCTACTTCATCAAATAATATGCAATCATTTCTTTATGAAGCCCAGGATGACCATCTTCATAGTATTGTTGTTAATTCTAAGACGGTTCTGAAACTCCTACAAGGTTAAGTTGATTCCAAAAGCCCTGGAAGTGACATGATACCTCCAATATTTTTTGTTAGATGTGCAAAGTCCTTATTTATGCCTATTACAGACGTTTTTAATAGATGCTTACGAGATGGCTTTTTCCCACATATCTGGAAAACCACACACATCGTACCCATTCACAGAAAAAGGCTTAAGACGATGATTGAGAATTATCGGCCAATATCAATTCTCAATGTACTAAGTAAGCTGTTTGAAGGGGTTGTACACAGTCACGTTTATCCCTTTATTTATCGTGTTATACCAGCACAACAACATGAGTTCATTAAGGGTAGATCGACCAATAGTAATTTAGCAGTCTTCTCAAAGGAGGTTCTAGAAGGCGTCGATGGTGGTTGTCAGGTCGATGCTATCTATACAGATATAGAGAAGGCATTTGATCGCGTTGACCATTTTATCCTTCTCCGTAAGCTATAAGAAATTGGAATTGATGGCGATTTACTTAGGTGGTTTGAATCGTACCTGCGCAATAGATCTCAAGCGGTAGTAAAAGGCGAATTTAAGTCAGACTATGTTACGATTCCCTCTGGTGTGCCGCAGGGATCGGTGATCGGTGACCTCTTCTGTACGTCGCGTACCTCTATGACATTGGTCAGTGCTTTCGTTGTGCAAGGTATTTAATGTATGCGGATGACACAAAAATTTATAAATCAATTCGTACTCTCTCTGACTGCTTGAGTCTTCAAGAAGACTTGAGTAGACTTTGTGTGTATTATCGACAAAATAAAATAAACATTAATGCGGCTAAGTGCTTGTTAATTTCTTTCACTCGGAAAAAAGTTCCCATTGCTTATAATTACCATTTGAATAACACATCTATAATACGAACGAATGTGGTAATGGTAATGGATCTTGGTATACTCTTTGATGACAAATTAACTTTTTCTGAACACATGGCAACAATAGTTAACAAAGCTTATAAAAATCTAGGGTTCATTTTAAGGGTGAGCAAATCGTTTACTGATGTCTTTTGTGTTAAGGTTCTATACTATGCATATTGTCGTAGCATTCTCGAGTACTGTTGTAACATTTGGAATCCTCAATATGTTACGTATAAACAAGATTTAGAATCGATTCAGGCAAAGTTTATTAAGGGCCAGTTTCACCGGTTACTGATAAAGTTTCAGATAGTTATCTGATAGTTAACGCTATCTACTGGATAAAGGTTGCTGTTAACTTTTTTCTGTTCACCATCAAACTGCTAGATAATTTATCTGGCAGATAAGTTATCGGCCACTTATTAGTTGACGGAACGGCAACGTCGCTTTTTTGCGTTTCAATACTACGACCCAAATTATCGTCAATCAAAAATCATTTTTAAAACTTAATTAATATTTTTTTTGTGTTCAATATTATTTAAGTAAACTTTTTTCATATATTTTGAATTATAATTTTATGATTCTAGAATGAAAATAATACGATATTCGTATACTTAGCTACGTGTTTACAGAAACGAAACGCAACTATCATTTGTTTTGCTTTGTTGATATTTTGTGCTTAAGACGCTTTTCAATTTTTAAACTTTTCTTTGTGTATTCTTTTTAGATCTGTTAATTAATAATGAAAAAACAAAAACGTGAAAGAAGTGTGAATTTTAATTAAGAAGAAACGGAGCTTCTTTATTTACTTGTTAACGGAGATTTTTTACTTAGTAGCCCGTTGTAGTTTTTATATCACTTTCTATTAACGATAGAATATAAACAACAGCCGAAATCGATTCCTAAAATCTTGAACGTCAAGTGATTCTAAATAATTAGGTCTAGGGTTAATTACTCGATTCCTACGGGGTCGCGTAATACGTTCGAAATATTCATCTAATTCGTCTCCTAAAAACACAAATAAATCCATTTTAGAATATTTGTGACACTTGTGACTGCAATCAACGCAAAGCACACAATAATGGTCTAAAACTAAAACTATTTTCGTTCCCGTCACTTGAAACTTTTTTTTATCTATCAGATAACGTCTATATCAGCCACTTGAACCGGCTGATAACATATCTAATACTTTATCTGCCAGATATAGTTATCCGAGACCTGTGAAACCAAAAGTTGTAGTTTATCTGGCAGATAAGTTCCTAATAGGCTATCAGGGACTTTATCAGCAACCGGTGAAACCGGCCCTAAGTATCATAATTATCGCACAAGGAGTAACTGGAAGATAGGCGCCCTTTGCTGGACATGACATTTCTGTATGACATTTGCAGTGGGGCTATTGACTGTACAGAGCTTACATCATCAATTTTAACGCTCAACACACCCACAACCCGTACTAGGCATACTGCTTCATTGTTTTTCGCAGTTCCTCTATGTCGCACAAACTATGCACAAAACTCAATTATATTTCGATTACAGAGAACTTACAATAAGCGTTTTGCGACAGTTGATATATTTGCCTGTAATGGTAAAGCATCTTTTAAAAATCATATTACAAGGGTATTGGTAGATTGGTTCTAGAAAAAAATATGACACACCCACACTCTCTCACACACACACACACACTCTCTCTCTCTCACACACACACACACTCTCTCTCACACACACACACACACACACACACACACGCACACACACACACACACACACACACACACACACACACACACACACACACACACACACACACACACAATTCGCGTCTTGCTGTATTTGGTCGAGGTTGTTTAATTTTAATTTTTTTTTATGTATTTAAATAATGAAAATCCGTAATTGGCATTAAGATATGTTAAAAATTTTCTACTATTATTTAGATAAAAACTTGCTGTGTATTTTTTCTTGAAATAAATAAAATAAATACGTATATTTCTACACCACTCCATCGCATCTTTGCAGCTCATTATTTTTTAACTTATATGACGTATTATGAAAATTTTGGTACCCCTGAAACTTCCGCTCGAGGCAAATCCTGCCCTGCTAAATACTGCCCTTACCTTTACTGTCCAAATAATGATTTATATCATTTCCAGGGCCCCCGAGTTAATGTTCCAGCCTTCTATGATGGGTAACTTAGAAGCAGGTCTTGCAGAGACATTGGAGTATGTTTTTAAGCACTTCAATCCTGAGGAACAACTACTATTAGCTAACAATGTGTTTGTTACAGGCGGTTGTTCACAATTTCCAGGTAAAAGAACACGAATACTTTGCTGTTTTTTGTTTACTAAGGTGACTATTACCGATTAAAAAATGTTTTAATATTTTAGGTTTGAAGGAAAGGCTAGAAAGGGAACTTCTTGAAATGCGACCATTCCAGTCAACACACAAGGTAGTCATGGCCAAAAACGCTAGTCTCGACGCCTGGTACGGAGCTCGTGATTTCGCAGGAAGCAACGAATTCGAAAACTGGTGTATATCGAAGGAAGAATACTACGAGATGGGTAGCGAGTATTTGAAGGAACATCACGCGAGCAACAGGTATTTTAAGAGCCCCGCACCCATCACTGATAATACCCTTACCCCCGCTGGGGACGCTAATGTTATTAAAGAAGAAATAGTCCTAGATTGTTAGTAATAATAAATGTGTGTTATCCATTTTTGCGGTTTCATTTGGTGACCAAATTACTTAAAAAGAAATCTCAATTGCAGTTCAAGTGTCTACAACAACATCGTCGTAATTGAATACGAAGTCGAAGAATTGAATTACTCCACTTTCCCACTAGTGTATTATATTTCACGGTTACAAATAATAAATGCCTCAAAAGCCATAACCTGTCAGAGCTTCTTCTAACTGTAAATCACTTTCTACACTCACTTTTTCAGTTAAAACTTTCCTTTGAATCAACCAAAATACTGTATCGGTGAGAAAGAAAAGTAGTTGACCTGTATCAGTTAGTCAGAGTTCAAAGACTGTCCATACCGTCAGATTTAAAACTAGGACATTGAGGAACGGGGATCGAGTAGTGAAATAAACAAATGAGTAGCCACAAATATCATGGCACGTTTATTTTTCTCCACTACATGGCGACTTCTAAAAGAATCGTGACTTGTTATTTTTGCATTTGTATAGTTCTTTTTTGATAGAGCTCTGCAAATGAGCACTAAAGAATAATTTTACAATGTATATTTTTCCATAAAAATTAAATAAACTCTGTTTTTACTTTTCTCAATTTCAATATAAAATCACTATGAACTGAATATAAAATTAAAACGATTTGTTAGTTCGCTAATAATATTGATTGATGAGACTATATAATAAAGAGTACATTTAAAAAATCACATTAAAGCATATACATAATGCTGACTACATAATGCTCTTACAGCCTTCTTTAAAATCCGATCCGCCTTGCATTTCCTATAGTGCATTTAACGAAAAATAACAACAAACAATAAGACTTTTAGTATACGAGAAACAAACCAATATAATCCTAATATAATTTTTATCACAATCCAGTCAGACTATTAAATAGTAATATTAAATTATATGTAAAGGCTGTAAGAGCTATATTCACGTGCAATGTAATACACCACAATTAACAAATCTAACTTATTTAAAATATAAACTAGCCTAAAAATTTTAACAATTAAAGGAAAAAACAGTTTATTTAAAATATTGGTCATTAAAAACTCTGATGAGCTATAACTAAATGACCGCATCAATAATCATCATGCCATGATGTTTGCTTATTGATTTTAATAAAAAATTAGCAATTAAAGGGATGTAAATAACTCCAAAAATTTTTGGTTAATTATAAGGCTTACAGCCGTATAATATAATTTGGTAAGAATATACAAATCGTACAAAATCAGTGACTTAGAAATAGCTCTCAGTATATAAAAAAAAAAGTTAAAATCCTTAGGCTGTACTCTCGTATGATTATAATGTAAGCAACGCAATATGTTGGCAAAGCGGAAGTTCGCGTAAATCTAACGATACAATATAACTAAATATGTATGTACCTTAGACATTATGATTACACAAGGCTCACTGTTATTTGCTCGCAATGACCATTCTCAATTACCTATCCTCGGTAAGAGATAGGACTGTTTTTGTTCAATATATAAGCAGTTGCTGATATTTTTTTAATAATAACAAAAACGCTAAATAACCAAACTGTGGTAGACCTATCTCTTACTGTTGTCAGTCTATGAAAACAACCATAAACCACCATGATCAAGTATAACTGGCCGGCGGCGCGCGACAGCCTCGACTAGCACTTTTAGACAAGGAAAGTAGTATACATTTTTTCACGGATTAAGGATATGTACGATTTCTTCAACATAATTTTTCAAGACCTTTTACAGCAAAACCGGTTTGGTCCTAAACCACAACCCATTTGATATTCGAACAACGAAATCAACAAACGAACCCAACATTGCCAAATAGTTCCGGTGAGTATTCTTATAATAATGCGAATTCTTTTAAAGTAATTCAGTCTTTTCTACAGTTGAAAATTAAGTAGAGAAAGAGAGAATACCAAAACATATACCACACAGCGATTACGTAAATTGAAATGGGTCATTATTATATTCTAAACATAGTAACTAACATCGGTATGTAAAATATCTGGGACATTAAATACGCACATATTATTATTACCCGCTAGATACTTGGTACTCATAAATTGATCGACGAGCGGACAGTAATAATTATGTGTTCCTTCAATGTCATTGTGGAGCCTCACTTTTTACGAAACATGTACTCCGTGTAGACACTATTTGTAATATGAATTTCGGGTAACTGAGAAAATATCTCGTAAATAATAAGGATCTACTTTCTATTTCTCCATAAGCCCGACTTAGCTGAAACAACGATAAGACAATCATAATTATTAGAGATAAACAATTATAATGATAGTAAACAAACATTATAACAAAAATATATTACTAATTCTAAGATTCATAATGAAACAAATCAGGCCCGCAGACCTATCGAGAAATAGAATCAATATTAATATATACTTCATAATATGTATCTAGTATACTAGGTTGGTGTTTCTATTTCCATTCATAAACCTATGGATAAATTAGCGGGAGCAACATTCATAACCAACAGCAATAAACATGCTGATTGATATCACATACTGCTAATAAACTTTTATATGAATTTTTATTGACGACAGTATTTATTAAATGGTATTAGAGGATTTATACTTAACTTTCTTTAAACCAAAGTCCTAGTTTGTCTAAATAATACTGTTATCAATGGCTTGGTAAGAATCTTACTAACACAATTATTAATTTGAAAAAATAAAGAGAGAATGTATTCCCTTACATTTCTGGGCATCTAAATGCATCCGTTTTTGTTATTTTATCTTAAAATATTGTGTACATAGCTTTTATTTATTACTTTAAAATGATAAATGAGACATTGGCCTATTTTCTCGTGTTTCTTTCAAATACAGAACTATCAAAATATAAAAAAATATTGAGGACTATCAAACAACATTAATATGTATATATTATTATTATTATTATGTATACGTATGTACACCTACAAGGAAAATTTTGATTTTATAGTACATAGTACCCAAAGTAGTTCTGTGCTAAATAGACTAACATTAATTCCAATTATTCATCTCAGTTCGATATTTTACTTCTATGATTGTAGAGCGTAATTTATAACTACTAATCATACATTTTCTTTAAATTCTGAATTGTTTTTACTTTTCGATATACCTGAATAAATAAATCCTACCAATATTTACAATTTTAACCCAGCACATGGACACACACAACATGGAAATAAAATAATGTATGCATGTAAAAAATAACAATAAATATAGAAATATGTATAATAAAAAAAAAAGAAATATATTTCAAATGTTTCAATGTAAATAATATATAAATTCAGAATAAGTTCTCTTACAATATTTTATTTCCAGTACTACCCTGACCGGCAGACTTAACTAAACTTACTCTACCACATCATTTATATAGAAATGGCACCAATCTATCTTTGATATCAATAATGGCAAACCATAAGGAACCCCCGCAGCGGACGCATCAGCTGCACTCTACAGTGCACAACTCTGTCTCAAGGTATTGGAAGACTACTGCTCTATATACTATTCATAATTACTATTATTCGAAACAGTAATGGAAATAGACAGTTCGCACTTTACATATACGCAGTAAATTGAAAACTGCATTATTCTAACGGTAATCAAAATATGATGTATATGATGCTTTATATGTATGAGAATACTTAATTATGAACATTCTTTATAGAAATTAGAAAAAAAAAATATGAATGTATTTTTTTATTAGTCATGGTGTTATGATCGATATTGCCTAATGTCGCTATCCGCTAGAAGGCACACAAAGTTTAGTAAGAAGCTTCACAAATTATACGCTCTATACTGTAAGCGGCCGCGATCACTATGAACGGCGCGACCGCTTGTTGCCTCACACACTTCAAGTGTCCCCGGCCGGTGAACACGTACACTGAACGTAACCTCACATGAACGCAACACTATTAAAAAATATTGCCAATTTTATGTTGCAACAGGCACTTCTCTGGATTAACTCCAATAAACATCATATAAGACATTCATTTTGTGAAGCCTTCAATATTGCCTCTGAGGACTCTGAAAGTATATGGTTTATTCATTTTGTACTTATGTATTATTATTAATTCATATGAACTTGAGACATTATTAAAGCATTCTTATGGATCACTTATACAGAGTATCATGTAGAGTCCTTTACATTTATCAGCGATCATTATTCACCTCTCATCGGTAACAATTCTATAAAATTATTGAACTCCTCTTTATACACTGACATTCTAAGTTAAAGCATCGCAATAAGATATTGTTACATTTCACTACGACTAACGAGAGTGGGTATGATAAGCTAACGACAAACATTAAATTTAGAATTTCAAAATTGGAGATTTACCATTTACGAATCCAAATTTTATCACACTAAGCAAATTAGAATATGAGATCAAATTTTTAGGCCTACATCTAAAATGATGAGAGTTTTTTAAGTATTGATTTATGAACGCCACCACTAGAACGAATACAATAATGTGATGGTATAGATAAATCACAGTTTTGTGGGCATAAATCACAATGCATATCATAGGCGGTACCGCTACACGACTACAAACTACTTCCTCATCTCTATAATGTGATGTCCACTTGGTGTTATCGAGGGATTCCACAAGCTAATCAACTCCATCTGCTGCCACTCTGCCCGCACGCGACTTCCCGCGTCGCGTTGCGCTCATACCATACATAATGTTAAACATATAACGTAAACAAACGATATCTTGCATGAGTCCATGCTGTAACCTAATTGGGAGAACCGGTCTCCTTGTTTCTTTCACGATCATAGCTGCTCCTGTTAATGGCTGCCACTCTCCTAATATTGCACTCCGGCTGGCCTTTAGTCCACCGAGAGCTAGAATGAAGGAAACTCAACTCAAATTTGTTGGGCAAATAAAAAAAAAAGACTTATTATTTTCAGTATTAGAAAACATACCAAATTTGGCGATCAGTCTCCGAGATGCATTTGACCAGACATGGGCTGCGGCGTAGGTGTATGAGGGGGTGGAGGTGAAGCTGTCAAAAAAATAACCGTTAAACGCGGTTCACAGTAATTTCAAGAGGTAAAATGCTTATATTTACTTACATATTGACGCTATAGATTGGGGTGACATGGCTGACATTTTACTCTGTGTATCTTGCATCGACACTTGCGTGCCTTGAGAGGTCATGTAGCGATTTACCATTGGAACAAAACTATAAAGAAAGTTTTACATGTTAGTGACAATCATTTGATATTCAATTTCAGCAAGTTAAAAAAACAAATAAAAAAAAATTTAACAGCCTTAAAAAAATAAAAACCTTAAGTCACAGACGCCAGGGGAGTCAAAGTTGCTATTGTTGGAGTTGTTCGTGTTGGCGGCTACACTGTTAATCGTGCCGATGCTGTTGGCCGAAACGTTGCTGTGATTTTCGCGATGCACGCGATTGTGATGCCTGTGCCAAGTAAATAATTGATTTTAAAACAAAAAAAAAACTAATGTCATGGCCATTAAACTTTCGAGATTTGAAGCTGAAAGTAGATCAGATAGCTTTCACGAGATAATTCAATAAATATTATATTTTCAAACGTTAGCGCTTATTTCAGAGTTTGAATTAACATTAACTGCGTTAAACAAAGCGCATGTTACCATCAACACTAACCAACCATTAACGTTGGTACCACGCATTTTTAAGAAGATATTAGGAAAAATCGTCTGAGAATTTCAACTTGCATCTTCTGCCATACCGGCGTAGAGGATAAAAATGGTAAAAAATGGATAGTGCTTCCGAGTGAACGTAGCGTACAGTTAAAATTGTCATTCAGTTGAACACATCAATATCTTTGCCGCCATAGATGGATTTCTTTTTAGGTTTCTAAGTCTTAGCAGTTTGTCTGTCACTAGACTGTATCTCATGAAACGTGACAGTTAAGACAGTTGAGGTTTTCACAGATGATGTATTTCTGTTGCTGCTTTAACAACAAATACTAAAAAACAATAAAATAATAAACGTGGCTCACATACAACAAACGTGATATTTTTACTCCTTTTCGGTACGGAACCCTTCGTACGCAAGCCAGACTCGTGCTTTGCCAAATTTTACTATATAATACCTTATTAGATAGCTGTCTCGGACGAAAGTACGGCCACAAACGCTACACTCGTAACAAGGGCCTGCTGAGTGCGTACGGATGTGGAGTGCAAACTGGGATTTGGAAGTAAACGTCATTGAACACCGATCGCAATTCAATGGCTTATCGGCTACATGCGACCATCTGTGAAAAATAAACTATCACTTAGTATATGGTTACCGGACAAAATAAAATAATTGTTTATTTCTACCACAAATTTTAATACTTCATTACAAAATTCAGTTTTTCACTTGTTATTCATATTTTTTCTCTATTTTAACTTGCGAACATCAGAGGAATAAAAAAGGAGGCCATATTCTTTTCGGCTAAAATTAAAAATTGGCACCAGTCCTACCACTAGAACTATTATTTACTTGGATGTAAAGAAAGGCGTTATGATACTGAGACCATCCCCACAGCTGCCCCACAAAATTATATTGCTATATATGATTATGATCATATCCAGAGGTTAATGACCGATTGCTATCGATATACGTACAGTATATATTTACTACATATTACAATGTTGATATTAAATAACAAACCTATTATATATTTGATAATATTGTGTGATTAAAAATATACCCATTGCAAATGTTACAGCTAATTTGAAATTTTCTTAACTATGTTTTATGAGATTATTTACATATTTAAATGCCCATCCCATCCCATGTCAGGATATCTAGGACTGGTGATTTTTAGGCTTCCATGGTAAACATGGAAACCTTATAGTTTCGCAACGTCCATCTGCCCGTCCACGGTTAAGCTCAAAAACTATTGGCACTAGAAAGTTGTAATTTGGCATATACACGTTAATTACGCTGAAAAAGGGTGTAAATTAAATATCGAAAAATATTTTTAGGGCACCTCCCCTACATGTAAAATGGTAATGATTTTTTTTTCATCTTTCCCATAGTGTGAGCATCGTTCGACAGGTCTTTCAAAAACATTGGATGTATGGGATGGCCGTTTTGCGATTTAAATTTAGAGTCGTGTTCCCCCCACTCTTCCAACTAAACGGTCGTTGGTAAAAATCCAAACGGAACGGCAGTATTACCTACATAGAACGATGTTAAAAGAAAAACTATCACACTTAAGTTGGCTTTACAAGTTTACGAGTATTTAACTCAAAAATTTCGAACAATCCATAGAAAACAACATACGTGTTTTTTATTAATAACAGTCCGTCTCGCACTTTATTATTTTTTAAAAGATACAAATATAGGTATGATAAAGTTATAAAGGATTGTTTACCTGTGGGCCGTGACGTAGCTCTTGACTGCAAACCTCTTTTGACATATATCACAAGCATAAGGGCGTTCACCTGAAACATATAGTATACTATAATATCTAAATTTATAACATTACAATAACTTAATTAGATATATATGATGAAGCATGCAAGTAATAAAAAGAAAAATTAATGTAAGTAAGACGGCAAGATGCAACTACAAAGTAATGAAAAAAAACTATAGAATATGATCAATTTATAATCTTGATATAGACCATTCGAAATAAATAATGATGATTTATTACATAAATGAATACATAAGCTGAGTAATGAATGATAATGATTTTGATGCAGCAGATGAGAAACATATGTAATAATTCTGTTGTCGGTGCCACATCATAACTGATTCAGAGAAAGTTTTGTTTCAATACCTAGTAGAAATTATATCGGCCAGTCGTTGGATCTCAGTCATTTATTCATACAACGATAGGCCAACCTAAGTTGTTACTAAGGAAGGTAGGGTGCTAAGTGTGAGTTTTCAGGTATCTCGATCCTGTTAACACGTGCGTCATTACACAAATGGACGTATAATAGTATGACAGATTTTTACAGAATTAATATGTTAAAAACTTACACTTAGCGTAGAATTCGTTTTATCTATCTGACTCAATCGCGTTCACTGAAAATATAATGTTCCTGTGACGTCACCTATTGGAACATGAAACGTCCTAAGATTGTAAAATTGTGAAAGATAATATTAGTATTTTTGAAATATTAAAACTCACACTAACACCGTAACGCATTTGCCGTCTTCTTTATTATGATTATTTCAATTGAATTTAAGAGGAACTGTTAAATTTTGAAATTAATATTTGCTATATGAATTAATAACAGTCACTAATGTGATATACTTTGAATAAGACAATTAGCATTTAATTTTATGAAAAAAAATCTACTACCAAATGACTATCAAATGGAGTTGGATTCTTCGTATCTTAGAAAAACAGAATAACCTGTTACGACCTTCTCTTTTATTCTCATCTGGGTTACGATATAATGCTACTTGTCTTATTTGTAGCCTACAAACAGACAGCGTGCGCCGTAACGCGTGTTCGCATACCGGTGTGAATTCGCTTGTGAATGTTGAGGGTAGATTTCTGCGTGAAGCGCTTGTAACAGACATCGCACTCGAACGGACGCTCGCCCGTGTGTGTGCGCATGTGTATCTCCAGGTACGGCTTACAAGTGAACGCAGCCGGACACTCCATACACTGATACGGCCGCCCTTGCACTGACCATTCACACCGTTCATTTAACACGACAAATATTAAATAATTATTACTCACGGACCTGACAAAGTGGCACCGACAACTCAAAAAGTAAAATAAATTTGATGTTTGATAATGCAATTTAAAACATAGTGTTATTAGTTAGCTTATGATGAGCAATTCAAATAAAATAATAGCCGATTTCTTTACAACAATAAAGCGACTTCGAGAGTTGGAAGTTTTCTACTCCAGTAGCCAATAGTGATAAAGTACCAAAAATTAGTATAGATTGAACAAACTGACCTGTGTGCGTTCTTTTGTGTATGTTCAGTGTGGACTTTTGCGCGAATCTCTTGAGGCACACGTCACACTGGTAGGGTCGTTCGCCGGTGTGCGTGCGGTTGTGTATCTCGAGGTACTGTTTGCAGGTGAAGGCGGCGGGACACTGCAGGCACTGGAACGGCCTCCCCTGCACTGTGAACGAACGGTAAACGGTCACAGTGTGCGCCGGCGCCCGCCTCCCGCGCACGCATATCCTCTCACTACCCCGCAACGTTCATACGTCCCTAACGAGCGGCGGTCGCCAGCCGACACATACCTGAGTGCGTCCGCTTGTGAATGTTGAGACTGGATTTCTGTGTGAAGCGCTTCAGGCAGATGTCGCACTGATATGGACGCTCGCCGGTGTGCGTGCGCGTGTGTATCTCCAGGTATTGCTTGCAGGTGAAGGCGGCGGGGCACGACAGGCACTGGAACGGCCTCCCCTGGACTGGTGCCCAACATACATATTATAGCAGCGGCGAGCCAGCAAGGACGCTAGACGCCCTCGCTCTACGGAGGTCGCGGCGCGGACTGGTCGCCGCTCGCCGCTAACTCCGCTCCAAATCTTTAGTTCTCTACGACCGGTCTGCACCGATCGCGGTTCGTACGCTTCGTCGCGTACGCGTAGTGTAGAACAGAGACAACGCACAAGCACGACATCTAAAATAATAGATTTGGAGGAGAGGCAGAGAGTGTGAGTGGAGAGAGGCTTGGGGCGGGCGGAGGGCCAGTCCGGCTCGCGACTGTCACCCACCTGTGTGCGTCCGTTTATGTATATTGAGGCTGGATTTCTGCGTGAAGCGCTTCAGACAGGCGTCGCACTGATAGGGCCGCTCGCCTGTATGCGTGCGCATGTGAATGTCCAGGTAGGGGCGGCGGGCGAACGCCGCCGGGCATTGCCCGCACGTGAAAGGACGCCCTTGCACTACGCCCAGTGCACACACAAAAGCGAGTAACGCACGTCGCCGACGCATGCACGCCCGCACGCTGGACGCCCGCCCGCTGCCAATCTCATACCACATTCGGCGACGGAAAACCCCAATTTTGAACACCCAATTTTGACATCGACCCGTGGCCGATGGAGGCACGATTATGCGTCACTGCGGCGATTGCATTACCGCTTTTGTGAAATAATTAATATTTATGGAGGTAATGATGAAATACAAAATAAAATGATACACTAAAATCGTCGTAACGTATGCGAATGAGGGGGAGTGAATGACAGGCGTATTATGTCTATGAATATGCGAGTATTCTCGAATACAGAAGTCCGTGAAAGCGCGTTTAAAAGGGTGAAGAAGAGATGTTAGTTGAAAGCAACGAGATGGAAGCTACTGAAATGGGGGAGTATAAAACAACGGGTTAGGCGGGCAACGGAAAAACAGGAACGAAGCATGACGCTAAATGAAATGTGAGTGCGTGATCACTCTTTATTTACTTCATGTCGTTGTGTAAGGAATGCTGCGGAATATAATATATATGGGCTACTAACCCGTATGTATTTTTTCGTGCAAATTGAGCGCGCACTTCTGCGTGAAGGACTTGAGGCAGACGGTGCACTGGAACGGCCGCTCCCCTGCGCCGCCAACACACGGACACGGGGGGACAGAGAAACAAAACAAAACCACGATGGACAAATAATTCCAATATCGAAGCATCAACGCATACCAATTAAAAATTTAACTTTCACTACTACCATGAGGGAATTTGAATAGTGTTATTTGTCCATCAAACATTCTCTCTCCTACTTGAACTGAACGAACATCCTCACAACGTACACATGCTTACTTAAATTGTTTGTGAATAGTTTTTGAGCGTGTGTAACCTAAAAAATATATCAATTTATAAAAAAAAGTTTACAGAAACATAAATGGATAGACACTTCCAAATCGCTAACCAAACTTCTAGTTTACTTATATAGTAGAGCCATTCATTAATTGGGAACCCTTAAAAACTATTCACAAAACGGAGAGGTGTCAAAGCCACAACAAAGAAAATATAAATAAGGTAAATATTTTACAGAAATAAAACGGGATTGTGGCTTAGAAACCGAATGAAAATAAAAATGTCAAGGGACCCACCAGTATGTATACGTTTATGAGTGCCAAGGCTGGACTTCTGAGTGAACCGCTTGTCACAGATGTCGCATTGATAGGGTCGCACTTTGTTGATCAGCGATTGGATGTGCTCCTCTAGAAATACCAACAAAATTCAGCTACAACAACGATTCTGCACCATGCACTGCCTTGATGATAGTGCCTAATAATGTGAGCTCTATAATTAAAAACTGATTGTCTACATAAGGATTTTAGGGGAAAATGCCTACCAGTGTGTATTTTCCCATGTCGGCCCAGGCTGGACTTCTGAGTGAAGCGCATAAAACAGATGTGGCACTGGTACGGCCGCACTTTCTCTAACAGGGCTCGTCTGTGCTCCTCTATAAGTTATACGAGTTTACGATATAGCAACTCAACACCCTCTCAAACAACATTTACGATTATTACCTAACGCGTTAACTGTCCACACTCATCCACACACACTCAGGGGGAGGTAGGCTACGGAGTCATTTCTTATTAGTACCGTTTTACTTCAACATTTACACAAGGTTACGCATTTCACTCGAGGGAAACGATAGCGACCCACAGGTATGTAATTTCCCATGCCGGTCCAAACCTCATTTCTGAATGAATTTCAAATAGCAGACGCCGCACTGGTAGAGGCGTTCCTTAGTCAGCAGTGTGCGTGTGTGTTCCTCTGAACGAAATCGTCGCACAAGTCAAAACGGTTTATTCACTCACAGAGGACGTACGGTGGTTGTAGTAACCAACGAGGTTATTATAACTGCGGATAAACATTTAGGCTCGGGGTGTGACGATTACCCAAAAAGGACCCACCCGTATGTATTTTCTTGTGTCGGTTGAGGCTGGAGCTCTGCGTGAACCGCATCTGACAGAGGTCACACCTGTACGGCCGGTCCTTCACCATCAACGCGTGCATGTGCTCATCTAGAACCCAGGCCACATTCCAACAATTCACTCGAAGCTCTCCACTCAACAATAAGTCGCACATTTCTACATACAAGAGATTTGTCGAGATTCACTATAGCGTCTAATGCAATCCTTTGTATGTTATACCTCCCCCTGTTTACCTCGCACGAGTGCCTTCCTCACGCCCTGATTTAGTCAACGATTTAATATAATGACACAACTCAAAAACTATTCACATTTTGATGTTAAGCATATGTATTGTCAGTTTTCCGAGCGACCTGTGTGTCGCACCAGTGTCTCGTATAATAAGTATTTATTTTCTTATTACATAATTATAAACTTCCTCTACGAATTATAATAGGTACAGTTTTAAGCAGTGGGTATATAAATTATCATAAATCTCCGTCCAGAGGCCATGTAGTACATAGGTAAATAGGTAGTTTTAAATAGGAATGAAACTTATAGACAGGAAAAACATTCGTAATAAATTTGGAGTTTATTCAAAATTAATTATTTAATAAAATATGATTATTTAACTAGATCTCTTCTCAGAACAATATTATTTCGCACATCACAACATTAAACAAAGCAATATACGTATACAACATGCTTCTAATTATTATATTTAGCGATATTCTCCTTTTAGTATTATGTAGATTAGAAATCAAACTTATTGCAAACATAAACATAACATAAATGGTATAAAAAAAAATAGTATAAGAGACAATACATAATAATTTTATAAAATATTTTCATCAGGGCGTCAAAATAGGATACAAGCAAAATATGTAAGTAAATTGAAATAAATATTATTATATGTAGTAAGAATCTAAAACAAAATAAAACTTTACATATTTTGATTTCCGGAAACAGGAGGAGGTTAATGCAATTGAAATTTATTTAATTTTCGTTTTTTTTTTAATCCCCTCATGGTTAGAAACTTTATGTGATCGTTAGCCTGTGTCCTAAGACAACATGACCACTAAAAGTGTTGTTACCGTATATTCATGTAAAAACATACTCATAAAAATGTTAACTGATATCTATTTGCCTAAAACCTCCCTCCTATAAATCTATTATGTATTTACAAACCAAAGATAACAACTTCAAAAAATTATTCCTTAAAATAAACTAATAACCACTTGTATCTTTTTGAAATTCAAATGATTTTTTATATTTTATATTCTATACTGTGGTTCGAAATTGTTTTTTCAGATTTGAAATTATCTTTGATTAAGTAAATATATATACACTCAACTATTAAATCAACTTTTGTCACAGGTCCACAAACAATTTGCTCATAATACATTTAGTATATTCTTTATTAAAAAATATACCTAATTAAAATATCTAGCAGCCATAGCCATAACATCTGTGATTGAACAAAAAACGTTAACTTTAAATGTATCATTGAAATTTGTTTATACACCAATGTCTGCTCTTTTTCATGTTAACTAAACGAAAACGATATTTTATATTTACACAAAAAGGTATGGAATTCAAATATAGTTTTATACGCCTTTAATATATTCAGAATTGCAATAATTAAGTTTAATGCCCTTCAGGGTATTAACTATTTTCAACGTTATTTCGCTTAACAGTTAGAAAGTAAGTAAAATACTGTAAAATTGGCAGAAATATACTATGTATTTATTCATTAAATATGGTTCGTTTTCGTTTATATAAGAATCTTTACATAATACTTGTCATTGTGACGACGCATCGCAATGTAACAACGTACAGTGCTGCCTCAAAAATAAGTTACATCAATATTGTTCATCATCGGCGTAGATGAGGGTTAATAAATATACGCTTATTAAAATCAATACCTATCAAATAAGGAAGGCGTAAGGAAATATATACTATAACTTATTATTCCGTTTCTGCTGTATCTAATAATACGAATCAGTACGCAACGTTTTTATTTGATTATGTGTCATCACAACTTGTGTTATGTAATCTTCTTTAGATCTTTTTATTTCTATTAAATGGTTCGAATAAGAGAACGAACATAAAATAGGGGAATTCAATAAAGTTAAAAAACTGAAAACTAAATTAGACAAGAATAACTTAACGTGCTTTTTCAATCACCAAATTTTTTTTCATATAAAATACGATGTTTTATAGTTGATTTAAAACTACATACAAGTAAAAGTATAAACTTTTACCGATGAAAATCTTTCATGTTTACCTATATTTACAACATTGGAAGTATTTCCTACAGAAATTGTTTTAATGCCAATTCAAACGAAACATGTTCGTTCTCTTGATCTTGATTTTAATAATAGATCCGGGTGACGTGTAATAGTTAGACCAGGTACTCACCGGTGTGCACCCTTTTGTGCGTGTTGAGACTGGACTTCTGCGTGAAGCGCTTGAGACATAGATCGCACTGGAAGGGCCGCTCGCCCGTATGCGTGCGCATGTGCACCTCCAGGTACGGTTTACGGCAAAACGCTGCGTCGCAAACCTTTTCATATACAAACGAACATTATAATATATTTTCTTTATTAGGAAACCTTACAACTCTTCGTGGCCAATCAAACCCTGGCAGTTAGTCAAACATAAGTCACGTGATGTTTTTAAAAATCAAGATTATTTATTCAGTCTAGGCTGTTACAAGCACTTGTGAAAGTCGAGAGCTACGCCATCGGTTCGTAAATCTACGACGGGAGACTTTGTACCGAGATTTTTACCGAGATTTAGCAATTTTTAAGCCTCCACATATGCTTAAGAAAAATAGCATATTGCATTTAAAACATTGTTACTTACAGTACACTGAAATGGTTTGTTTCCAGAATGCAGCTTCATATGAACATAATATGACGATGCAGATGACAACACTTTACCGCATACCTAGAACAAATTCATATAATTCTTGAAATTAATAAAAGAGGGATAACGATATTGTTTATATATGCATTATTCTGTTATAATACCTTGCACGCTTGTGGTTTAGATCTAGGCGTTGACTGGCCTCCATTTGACATTTCCATTTTAGTTTGAACTGACCCCATATCAACTCCCATACCCTGTTGAAGAAACTTTTTAATACTTTATTAAAAGCAACTAGATACACAGGTCCGTCATAAAAATATATAATTGTAATACATTATTTTAGATTAGGTTGGGGAAAAAGTTTCGCATATAGTATGCATTAACTTTAATAAAATCTTTCTGGCTTATATATACCTTATATATACCATTTGTATCTTGCTAGTGTCTGTATCATTACAAAGTTTAAATTTTAAAGAATATAACACCGAATTCAAATTAGGCAAATGTGTGATTTTCATTTGTTATTCTTACTGTCAAAATGAGTTGTCAGAAGAAGAAATTCGATACATTTTAAACTTTTATTGCAAAAAATAAATAAATCTGTAACTATTAGAGCGCACGAATTTGGTTTAAGCATTTTCAGTCCGGAAATTTTGTTGTCAAAGATGCACGTCGGCCCGGTCGCCGTTACGAATAAAATGGATGCCATTTTTAGAAAAGTGGAGCAAGATCCGACATATCAAAAGTTACGACGTAGCTAAAGAACTAGGGATTTAGGGACCACAAAACAATTTTGGCGCATTTAAAAAAGCTGGGTACACAAAAAATTGGATATTTGGGAACGACGCTAAAAAAAACCTTCGTTAGGTCTCTTTCAGTATACTCATCTGTGATTATTTACAACGACATTGAAGAAGCTGAGAACTAGTGATGAAACGTAGATCATGTACGACAAGAATGTGCGAAAAAGTTCGTGGTCAAATGTCAATCAGGCTTCACAGACTGTGGCGAAACTCAGGTTAACCCCTAATAAGGTGGTGCTGTTGTGTGTATGGTGGGATTGGAAGGGCATTATTCATTATGAGCTGTACGGCCAAGCAGGACCATCGATTTTGGACTCTTCTTCGAATAAGTGATGAGATTAAAGCAAGAAGTTGAGGGAAAGCGGCCAAAATTAATCAATATAAGTGGTATGGTTTTTCATCATGATAACGCCTCTAGACCTCACACAATTTTTGCCACTCGGCAAAACTTAAGAGAGTTTGGCTGGGAGGTGTTAATGCATCCGCCCTATAATCCTGACCTTGCACCTTCAGATTTCCACCTCTTTCGGGCTTGTCAGAATTCTTTACAAACGACTTACAATACGACTGCCAAAACCACTCGGCGCGGTATTTTGATCAGAAGCCCCAAAATGTCTATAGCAATGGGATCCTGTAACTTACAAGATGGCAAAAACTTATCAAACAAAATGGTACCTATATACTTTATTTAAATGTAAATAAACTTTAATAAAAAATGTTTTAAATTTTCATATATAATGCGAAGAAACTTTTCCCCAATCTATTATATATGTTACGTTCAAAGATCGAAATCAAATATCCACATAGCGAAATCCGTGATATGGCTGTCATGCTATTCGACCACAACGTGTTGTGTTAATGAAGAAAAACCATGAAGCATATTAAATCAGAGGTGATTAGGTTAGATTAAATTAGAGTATGACAAACACTACTTAAAGTTAAACAAATTAATGCTCAGAACGCGTCGTGGCTTTTTTTCATTGCCGCAACTCATTGAGATTGAATAGCGTGTCAGCCACGACACGTATTCCGCTATGTAGTTATTTTGCGATTGCCACAACGCGTTGTCAACTATTTGCGCTCAATGAGCAATTTCGATCTTTGAGCGTAACATATATAATATCAATACTCATACCTGAGAACACTGTCGGCTATCCATTTCCATTTCAACGCCTTCGTCTTCCATTCCTTTGAAACTTAACTGTAAAATTAAATCAAGTATCAGAATCAAAACCATATTTAGACACATCAAAATATATAAAAAATTACATCATTTTATCAAATTACTTAATGTAAAGATATTTTTACAGGTTATCGAGAACAAAATTTCAATTGTCACAGAAACCATTTTAGACTTTAATACGTCAGACATTAAATCCAATATTGATTACGGAAATTGTATAGTCTGATATGATATGCCGCTGTATTCATAATCATGTTAGGATTACTAACTAACCTCATCATCTTGTTGTAATTCTTGTTGCTGGTGTTGTTCCATTAAGTCTTGTTGGTGTTGTACTTGCTGTTGTATGATTAGACTGTCTTTAGAATCCTCTTGATGTGATTGATGATGCTGATTCATGTTAATGATGGGATGACTGTCAGACCGAACTATTGTTGGGGGACCGGAGTGTACATGGGGATGAGATGTGTAGAAGCTGCAACACAGGAAGCATTGATTTAACTATGCAAAACAATTTATTTAACTATTATATTACAATTTATATTACAATTTATTTAACCAGACCAAGTGGCAACTAGAAGATGCTTTCTAAATGAAACGAATACTTATCAGATCTGATATAACTATGTATTTTGAAGTATGCACCCATCACAGAAATAGTATGATTCTTAATATCCAGCAATTCTCTATGACATTATTGTTTGTCGAAAATTTATTTTAGAAGATGGTGCAGTTTGCTAAGTAAACCTTTTTAGAATGAAAAAGAGGACCATGGGTAACATATACCAAATGAAATAAAAATAGGCAAGAGTGAATAGGTTTCTTCTGGGCAAACTCGTCCCATAGTAGATCTCATCTATGTCATTAGGCTAGATTGAGGTCAAGAGTGAGCCCATTGTAAATAAATAAAAAAAAAAGCCAGATATATGTGATAGGACCGATGCTACACCAACAAGAGTTCAATGGCTCTTATATAAAGAAAATAATATGATGTTACCTCATAGGCTCTGCCTTGATCTGCTGTTCGAACATAGATATAGTGGCGAGTAGGTCGCCGGGGGGCGGCACGGGGACCCCCACGCCCCGTGCCACGCCCCCGACGCCCACGCCCCAGTGTGCCGGGAAACTAATGGCGAACTGCTTTACACTCCCTCATTTTCAGCTTCTACAACCTGTAAAAAGACAACTTGTAAATTTATTGCTTTAAGTTAAATATACATATTGCATATTTTATACTTATTTAGACCTGTATCCTCAATGAACATTATGTGAAAACATTAATACTATTTAAATGAATTCTAAACGTTTTTGGGATAAAATATGTGAATTTACGCCCGTTAATTACGAAGTTGTTGTGACTGGACATAGATCATAACTAAAAGCGGCGACTACTGAACGAATGAAGCAGATTATTATTTAAGAGAGGGTGTAAAGCCAAATAACTCCCTGTCTATCCATCTGCACAGAGGATAAAACTGCTTTTAATTAATTACTGGCAAACTATTATGATTATCGTAAAGTACTGAATAAGCAATCAATGCTTAATAAACATAAGGGTATAAATACAAGTAATGGAAAATATGGTGAGTTTGAGGATAATTTGCGGAAAATTTTATAGATCCACATTTTAACTGACAGTACCCTTATAATGAAATAACAAAAAATGATGTAGCTTTCTTATTTTAATCACAATTTATTTAGACGTTATTTCTTAGTACAACCAGTTTTCAAGTTAGTGACTTTGGTTGTACGCGCTCTCTTAAGAATTCAACATTACAACAGGATTTGCGTAGAAAAGTATTTAGGTAAATATATATACGTTTACGTATTCAATGATAAAATGATAAAATAATAAAACTAATGCATTCTTAATGTTAATTTAAAAATAAGCTGTAGGCGTGTGCAGTTTCCCACTCCATCGAATAAGTAATTTTTTTATTCTAAAAATAAGATTGACAACTGGCCATTCGTTCCGGATCAAGTATGTGGAAAGCTGTGTTTTACAAAGGTAGTATTCCCGTCGCCGCTGTCAGATGTGAGGTCACTTTAGTATCTAAGAGCAAAGTGCTCAATGGTCAATTATATATAACATATTTCATATATATTTTAATGAAATTTCTCTTTTAATTAATAATATTTTTCAGTTTAGCATTGTGAATGCAAAATTGACCTAATATAAAATTTATAATATTTTTTATATTGTGTGATATAATTAAGAGTGACTTAGGATACCGAACTTTCAAGTAATTTCATAAATAAAATATAAAGACACCCTTAATTTTTCTTACAATCACACATGTTCATGAAACTTCTTTGCAATTCGGGCGGCTAACATTAACAATCTACACAAAACCTTTCATGAACCCGCCCTTGAGAAGTGTATTATTTATAACATGTTTGAAGTCAGGAGCTTTATTTTTGATTTACTCGTTTAAAATCTCCTTGTTGTATACCTACGACCTAAGTCACGCTGTACTTCTAAGCCGCATGACGGCGTTAGAATTTTTTAATCGTTCATCCGTAGGGTGGCCATGATGATTCGAAATATTGATTTTGTTCTTTGTATTGTATAGAAAATAGTTTCTTCCGTTTATGTAAAGAAAAAGTGTGAATGTAAACAAAACAGCCGTAAACGTCATTATTCATTCATTTCAACGTCATTTATTCATTATTCTCGCAAACAGCGTTCGCTAAACGATGAGTGGTTCATACCACTGCTCGACTTGAAACGCATGATTAAAAAATAAAGCACCAGTTTAATATTTTAGTGACATGTGTATAACAATTTGATGTAAATATTAGGTCATAAGACAACAAAATTCCTATGCTATCTTTTATTTTAATCTAAAAACAGAACTCTTATAGGATCACTTTGTTGTCCGTCTATCCTTAGACCCTTTATTTCGAAACGTGAGGAGATATCGAATTGAAATGAAAGCCACATCCTCAAAGTCTACAAGTCCCTTCAAGCTGTGAAAAAATTAAACTTCTTAATTCACATGAAAAAAGATACGGCCATTTATGTAGCAAAAAAAAACGTATATTTCGATACATTTCATTTCCCTTGAGAGCAAGCTAATCAAAATTGATAGTGCTTCCCGTTGACCTAGAACAATAAAATTTAACAAGTTGCACGATTTTATAGTGCAAGTTCAAGAAAAATTCCATTCTAAATTCAATATGGCAGACCACCGAAAATGGCGAGAGTAGTTAAACTTATAACATGGGTATTAAGTAGAACCTATCTTAGAAAACTAAAGATGAATAATTGCTTTAATTTTAAGAGCTCTATTACAAATCCAAACTAACTCGCTACGCGGCCATACAAATTGAGCCGATGTATCGCATTTGTAGTATTTTGCAGTTATGTTTATTATACAACTTTGGGTATACTATATCTGGGTATAATATTCAATAAATCAAAATTAGTAAGTAATAAGTACAATTTTCCATTTTAAGCAAAAATCAGTCATAATGTTATAGGGCTCTTAAGTACAATAAAGCGGATCACCCAAGATTGCAGACTACATTGTTATGTAAGCACATAATGGTCATCATATGAATACAAAATAATTGGGTAATTTTTGCAGTTAATTTTTTAATTTTAAGCGAATTTAGTTAATTTATCGTTATCTTCTCAGCGAACCCTTTCCTATCAAATTTTCTCAATTGATTTTGTACGCCAGAAATCATTAGTTTCTTCTCTTTTATTAACGCCTTATCTGTGTGTTACAAATCTGCCAATGTCAAGTGATTAAATTAGTTAAATTAAAATAAATTAATTTCTACAAGTAAATGAAAGATGGCGATAAAAAAAAAATCAAGTAAAGAAATTTGATAGTTTTATATAACCTGGCGTGTTAATTAAAATATAAAACCTTTTTTATCTATCTAAAAAAAAATACAAATCTCAAACTATCCCCTACACTCCAGATATTAGAATTCTTAAGTCCATATAGTTAAAGTTATGAGCAAAATTTAATAATTTTAGTTTAAAGAAGCGCATTTTTTCTTCTAATCCAACATAGATATAATGTAAAGAAATTTTTGATAATGCCAAGATACCAACTTGGCGAAATTAATATCATTTGAAATTTCTTATTTATAAAGTTGCTTCGACATTATTACCGATATTGCCATATGATATTCGAGCAATCTGGTAAATACCTAATACCTAAACATGTGTACACGGTAATCAATATTTTTTGGGAATTTTCGGAAAATGTGCTCCGCGCCATAATATTACGCCTGGAAATAGTATCTCTTTCTCAATATAAAAAACATGTACGTTGTATAGTCAAAAGCGGAGCTAATTTTACTGCAGAAACAAAAATAGTACAGTAACAAAACCCTTCTTTCTATTCATAACTAGTAATGTATTACCAGTATTATGGAATTCGAAGGACTTATGTGTACTTTCGGTACAGATTAGAAATAAAAGTAATAATAAGAACCTTTTCATTCACCTGTGCCACACAGTATAAACAACAAACAATTTTCGTTTTTTAGGGTTCTTTAAATGTTCTCCCTAGAAAGAAAATTGGGACATCGTCTGTTTTGAGGGCGGTAAAAGTTTTTTCTATACGAGTAGGTAAGTATAGGTATGTTATATGAAAATTAAAATGTTAATAAATAGGAATGTAAAAAATTAATTGATAGTAGATACCTATATAAATTCAATTTTAAATTATTTAAGATAGCATGCATGCGTGTACAGTACTTGTCTTAATGCGTTATTGCCATCCATGCTCGTTTTTTCACACGGAGGCGCCGAGCGCATGATCGAGCTATGCACAATGTTCCCGTTTGAGATTTTAAAATACAACTGGCGCCATCTAGTTATGACATGAATGAAATATAGATCAGTGTCATAAATATGTTTATATCTAAAATTAAATCTTCACTAGATGGCGCCAGTTGCATTTTTAAATCTGGCAGACATTGGAGCATTGGATATGAGGAAAAATTTATTCTTAAATATATTTAAATTAAGTAATCTACTAACAAAAGCTGTTTTTAGTAATAACTTTTTTCATTTTATGACAATAGACTTGATGGAAAAAAATAGAAACATCTAAGTTTTAATATATATTGGGTGTCATGATATTTATTATAAAGAAAAGTTTGAGTATATCAGTAGTACTATTGTGCCCACTAGGATCTTGTATAAATTTTGTCCACAAAACAATTTAAAAATATAATATCATACTTTCTCTGGCCAATCATTTCAATTCAACGTAATTTATTCATTATTATAATAACCAACATGTTAAAAAATAATGTATCAGTGACATGTAAGCATATTCTTATTGGAACTTAAATACCTTTTTATGTAATCTTTATTAGGCCATTTTGCTTATTATATACAGATAATGTGTTTTGTGATAAATTACTGACCTTATAAATGAGATTTGGTTATTCTTTCATTCTTATAAGATTATTAATTCCAATAATAATCAGAGATGCCAATAATTATATCTTCAATAATACTTACCACAACAAAAGTTGTTTATAAAAGTTAATATTTCTAAGTTACATTATAGTCATTCATAAGCAAAAGGTTATTTAATCAACTGAAACTACATAACTAACCATTGTGTTAATAAGCTTAGTATAGTATAGGAAAATCATAAAATGAAAAAAAAACGCAATTTTGACAATAACATAAAATATATTTATTAGTAATAATGTGCACATAATTAAACAAACAATAGGAAAACAATTAAATCAAAACATTAACAAAAAATGAATAACTGTAGGTATAATTATCAAAGTAAAAAATAAATAATAAGCAGTACCTATCCTTTAAGTTTCAATTTTGCAGCACTTAGGACATTGACTGAGTTTACATAGTTATGCAAAGTATGTACTAATCTATCTTTATCATTGCAATTGAACTCTGATGTACCAAGCATTAGTACCTATGTATTATAAACATTTTACTACAACATACAAATACATACACTAACACATTAACAAGCAAGCTAAGCTAGCTAATCTCGTACACTATCAATAGTAGTGATTGTTAAGTA